AAAATCTTGAAGAAATAAATAACTATGTTCATAAAAAAGCCTCACCACAAACTTGAAAAATATCTCAAAAACTTAAAAAAAAAAAGTCAAACCAGACTCCCACATTTGTTTATTTACTATTTCACTGCTGGTATTCTACAAAACCAGCTGTTCTGAAAGTTTCCTTAAGCAACCTGAAGCATTCACAAACAATGGATCTGCAACAGAATCAGCACCTTTTTCTTCACTAAGGGTAGAAATCTCTGCTAGGCACTGCGTGAAAGAAGGAACATCAAATAAAGGTAATTCTGAATATGCAACAGAATCTCACAAGGTTTAAAAGAAAGTTTTTCAACTCTTACTATTGTTGCAAGAGTCAAAACATTTTCAAATTTGACATATTTGAGATGGAGGAAGAAGTTCTCCCTGAACTGAGGAAAGAGAGACTGAGGAAAAGGTTCTCCCTGAACCTGGCAAGCTGAAAAATCTGCAGCTTTGATTTCTCACTCTTCTACTCTGTGTTACCAACGAGGATCTGATCTCTATTTCTTCACAGGGCTCTACATTAATATTTGTTGAGGTGCAGCTCACAAACACAGCAGTATTAACACCTTAACCTTCTTCAAAGAAACTGTATTCTGTAATTTGGGCTACAAATTTTTGTAGCAATTAACTTACTAGTTCAAATCTATTTTAAGCTTTTCAATAGATACACATCCTCAGAAGAGAAAACATTAATAATTGGTATTTACATGCCACTAATTCAGAGACTACACAAAATGAACACTACCAAACCCAAAACCAAATACAGCACAAAGGCAATGCAGGGAAGATGGGGATGGGGAGTCTTAAGGACCACCTGAGCAGCCTTGAAGGAAATGCATTCCATTAAGAGAAAAGGTACCCACACATCTTAAAACAGGTTCCCCCCCCTTAAGACTCTTAAAAACACAGTGATAATAAAAAGAGAAATATTAATATAGAGCCCATCTACCAAAAGAGAATAAAAAACCTAAATTAAAATAAATTTAGGGGCCTTCACCAAACTTGCTGCAAGTTTGGGGACATAAATATCCAACAGCCATAAAGCTGTGAAAGCCCCCAGAATGAATAAAATAAATCCCACTTGCCTCAGACTGAACAGGGCAACACTGAGACTCTGCCTCAGCCTGTCCTATGGCAGGGCTATAGGAAGAAGAAAAATTTGAATTTTAGAAAAAACATGACCCAATTAAGTGAAAGACATGCATTAAAAATTAACAAAATTCCACTGATCAAGCAAACAAAAGAAAATGACTGCTATAGCACCTCTTTTGTTAGGTCCAAACAATATTTTTTGTTGCTGGTAGTGATTTCTGAATTGGACAGCTTGTTTTGCTTTGTGTCTTGATCAATGGAACATCAGTTGTCTTGGGGCATTTCTCCCGTAACTGATCGTATTTGTTGTACTAGTTCATGGAAAGTTGAGTAAAAGATTCCACCAGCCACTGAAAATGTTCACCCTTGTCTTGGTGTTCATGTAGAAACTAGACCAGTACAATTATTAAGACATTTACTAAGAAGTGTCATCAGTTACCATTTTAAATTGTGGCCCCAGCTCATGGATGGTTTATCAGTCTCAATTTAAATGAAGGTCATAACGACCTTCTTGCTGTTCATAAAACTGAAGTAATCTTGGTGGTTTTGTTCTCATTTTGTATCCAGAATGATTTGATTCCTATAAAGTAACTGCAGGTTATCTGTGCCATTCAATTTCATCCACGTTTTAAGACAGTAAGTTAAACAGTTCTGTGTCAGTACTGCTCAAGAGCTCCTCAGACTAAAATCCTGGCAGAAACCACAGAAGGCAGATGCAGCTGAATGTGTTTCTAGAAGCTTGTTTACATTGTCCCATGCATGCACAGAGCGAGGAATAGTTATCCACTGTTATTAGATAAACAGCCCAGCCTCAAATTTATTATCAGCACCTAAAATATCATCTGTGGGGGAAAAAAAAAGTAATCCAGAGGTTTCAGAAGAAATTTTCAGCCCACTATGCCAGCTAAGTAGTATTTTATTTAAAGCAACTTTGCCAATGGCAGAAGGCTATTCTAATGGCTGTATGGTAGTTATACAAAGACTTCTAAAAATCTAACCCAAGCTTTTTCAAGGTTCTTTCATGCCAGTCTCTATCCATTTTGCCCTAAAGATCAGCTGCTTATTATAATATTGAGACCATGCATAAAATAACTGAGAACCTTCTACAGAATCCTAGATGCAATAAATTCTGGCATGCTTTCTGTTAAACCTATTTTCCCACCTGTGTCTGAAATTTTCTTGTAGCCTAATCCTTTGTATTCAACATTTGCATTATATTGCAATTTCAAGGCTGGTCGAAATGCACTTGCAGGTGTGAATTTTAATGCAAGATCTGCCGTGGCAGAGTTAGGCAACAACTGAAAAACAAAGCTTGTGCCTATGTAATTACATCACTAGGGTCCTGCAACAGCTCCACAAGATACGCTTCTCTGTAATCATAAAGGCCTCTGCAATCTCCTTCCAAGAAAGGATTAACTAAAGCAAAAGCCTGTTTTCATGGCTGCATTACATCAGGGATTTTGCTGGCAGAGCTATGTTGATTACACTTGGTACTGTAAACCAAGTCTTGGTCTTTATACAAGCAACTATTACATTCAAAGTAGTTTTACTGTTTTTGGGTAAATGCACCATAAATCCAACTCTCTGAACATTAAGAAGCAGTACCCAAAGAAATGAAGGCAGGGACCAACAGACAAGGCAGGCACCAAAACATGTGCCTGTTTACAGAAGAATCACACAGGAGACAAAAAGTAACTGAAGACTGAAGGCAGCCACACCACAGCTCTTATTGCACAGGAATGACAGGAGCAGGAAATGAAATGTCCACGTGAAAATCGCAGAAAAATTGTTCACCTGCTTGTATGCAGTACCAATGAAATACACGTGGAAGTACCTACTCAAGGGGTTTTCATAACATCACTACTAAGGAAAGATTATTCTTAAAATGCATTCAAGCTTGAAGTCTATGCAGTATTAGCTACAAAATGGTACCATTATCAGAATGTGACATTCACTGTTTAAAAGAGTGAAACTTAACTAATACAACTTGCAGAATATGCCAAGTTAACATTGCATGCAGTAAGGTTTTATCCCAGGAAAAGTAGGGGTCTGGAAACAACATATGGAAAATTACAGAAAGACACCAGAGGGAGAAGGAAATTACTTGACTGGGGCAGAAGGGCAAAGCATCCTTAAAGCAGCAGTATGATCTTCAGAGAAAAGTGAGAAGTTTTATAGTTTTATAAGCAGTAGTTAAGATCACTTTATAATGTACACATTTTATGTGTAATATTATAAAAAGGACAAATAAGACATCATAAAAATCTCTTCAGTATTTTGTAATGATCCTAATTAGGTAAACAGAAGAAAACCAGAGTATAAAAGCGCTGCCTCAGCAAAACAGGTTTTATCTGTTAGACTTATGTCTAAAGCAAGATGAAGAGCTAACAAAAATTCTGACATCAAGGCCCACTCAGAACATTTGCAAGCCAAATATTGCACATCTGACAGGCGATCAGCAGATACCAGTGATCAGAGAGAACTGCTTCTCAAACAGAGGCTTGGACTTATGGTCTTAAAACTGAACACTTCAGAAAAAGGTGCCTGGCAATTCTTAATGGTTAAACCAAGGCCATTCAGCTGCAACTAGATTGCACTGGATGCTCTAGTGCTTTTGAGACATTCTGTGACCACAGTTTAGAAGCTGAGACAATGTAGTATTTTAGCTGTACTGTTATTTTTGTACTTTTAAGAGACAGTACAGAATAGAGCCACATGAAGGGCTTTAGTGCAGCTACAAAACCCCAAGACTTCCAAGAAATAGAGCCATAATGCTCAGTATGAAAATTAAGTGAAAAACTTCCACCATCTACAAAAACTATGAATATAATGACACAAAAATGCTAATCCTTCTACCCCACCCTACAGAAGAGATATCCCCATTAAATTGCAGATAAGGCTTGAGGCTGGAACATGTATTTAAAGTTGACCTGCAAATGAAAAATTCACCACTCTTTTTTCCCGGTTGAGGAGAAGTCAGAGAGGCTCTCACTTCCCTCCCCTCCAAAAGGTCTCCCTCTACATTCTCATCAGAGGTGTAACACAGGAACACATGATGCCAGACTTAACTACAACCATAAGAGGAACTTGTTGCTCTACTCTTACAAACAGAGAAATTACTAATTCAGAGGGAAGATGTGTCTTTGATAAAAGGTCTCTTACTCCAGAAACTTTCACTGAATGGTTCAAGAAAACTTAGACAACATCTGATCATAGCACACAACAGATGGTTACAGATGGTTCACCTTTCAGAGACTGCCAATACATGAAATTCTGATCATTTAAAGTAAACACACAGCATATAACACATTACTCTTGCCTGCTTTGCCTCTTCTGTGCATTAAGAGGGTTAAGCTACTATTTCTCTTTTGCAGGTCAACTTCAATACATTAACTGGAAGTCACTCACCCATGTGCCATGCACCTAAGCTTCTAGAAATCTTCACCTAAAGGATACTAAAATTCATCTCCACTTGCACATTAAAAAGCATCATTTGCAAAGTGAACTAATGGGACACACCCTGGCACTAGGATGTATCTCAGAGCACTTTCACATCCTACAAGCAAGTGCCAGGATTAGAAATCATTTAAAATTTATTGAGGACAAGAAAGCACGAGTAAAGAAACATATGCATTAAGAGAAGTTACAACCAAGAGTTAGGATGTGCCTCCTGCAGCCTCAGTTTTGAGGAGTCAGTTAATAAGTGTACAGGTCTTTGTCTACTCAGACGTACAGCTAAGGAGTGACTTTTTAGAACAAGAAATTCAGACTTTATCAAAACAGCACCAATAACTGTGTTCATTACACCAATGGCTACCAACGGCATGCATCTGTACAAACCTTTCAGGCAGTTGTCCACAGCTGGTCATGAATAAAAAGGCATATAAATTTTTCTCCTCTTTTATTACAATGAAGTTTATAACAGTACAGAAAAGTCACATGACCTTAGTGGGTCAGTTTACTTAAACCCTGGAACAGGAGGAACTCTGAATACATTAAATATTGTTACAAGTTCAGACTTTAATGTACAAGTAGTTGGGAACAATTACAGCCCTCACCAAACTATGTTGGGGACATAAGTCCAACAGCACTTGAAGTGCTGTGAAGGCATCATTTCACAAATAGCAACGTAACATTACAGAACTTGCCTTTAAGGTGGTATGTTCATGTAATTCCAGCGCCTTCACAATTTAACGAACCATATTTACTATACTTCACTTCTAAAAACCTAGATGAAACATGAAAAAGAAGCCATACAGTATAAATTGCAACATCAGGAAAAGTTCCTGTTATTATTCCAAATAATTTTTCCCATGTAAAATAAAATGTCCAACAGCTCCTTGCATGTGGGAAGATACTTATTTTTTTAAGAGTCACAATGAAGCCTTAATTGACGGAAGCTCGGCTATATTAACAGCACAAGATGAGAAAAGGTTTAATCTCCAAACCTATTAGAGCGTGAGTAGGAGCATCAGTAGCGGCCACCTTGCGACATTACGGGCGGTCTCATTCCCATGGGAGGGCGAGGAGGTCCACTCTGGTACGGGGGCACCATCGGAGGTCCCTGACCGTATGGAGGCATTGCCCCAGGAAGGTATCCTGGCATGCCCTGGTGATGAGCACCATACTGACCTATAAACAGAATAGTTAAAATGCAAAGAATAATTTTTAAATTTTTTTTTAAATAGTGAGAAGTGTATTTTGTGAAAAGCTTCAACCCTCCCTGCTAGCATAGGCAACTTCACAAATCTTTCCAAAAAATAGGAAGCTGGGAAACGTATGATTACCATGAGGTGGCATGGGAGGTCTCATTCCTTGCTGCTGTGGAGGAATTCCTGGCTGTGGTGGCATCATACCTCCAATTGGTCCAACCGGTGGATTACCCAGGGCAGCCTGGCCTGGTCGAGGAAGGTTGCGCTGGTATTTGGGCAACTGTGCCCTTCTCTCTTCCTAAAAGCAGGAGAGACAACCACAACACATCGTGTTAGAATTCACCGAAAGTAAAGAGAGGTACAAAACAGCAGATTACTAAACTATTTTAGCTACCTTACAAATTCAAAGACTACTAGTAACATTACCCAGCAGCAGTAGGATTTGCCTCCCTTTCTGCAGACTTTCTTCCTTAATACAGACCAATTTGAGTATTCTCAATGGAACTCAAATCCTCCCTTTCCCCCAACTGAATAAAGCCTTTTTCTCTTAAAAACACAAACCTGAAGATCTCTGAACTGTAATTAACGTTCATTTGTTTTATCCATAAATTCCGTATTTCTAACTGCTGTAATAGCATCAAAACAACTTCAAACTGTTCAGTCTTTTGTTCTACACAAAAGTCCAAATGCAGCAGAAGTCCAAATTGCACTTTGGATTGAGAAATTTCCCACCACCACCAAAGCTAAGGCTTAGACTGCAGCATTGCCAACATGCCAATCATAACTCAGTTACATTTTTTCTGCACAGTCTGCACTCTCACCATTACTAAAATACACATAATGCAGAGCACAGATGAAATTCCATTCGACCTGCCATATCATCACAAATCGCATTTTTCAGTAAGACAATGAAAACATGTTACTTACCAGTGATATATCCTCATCTGGATGGATCAACTTACTGGTTGCACTGGTTGTTGTGAGGGTAGCAGGCTTACTTGTGATAGATGTAGCTGGTTTAGCTGCAGTGCTGTTTGTTGTGCTAGTGGTTGAGGCTGTAGACTGTGTGTAAGCCGGGAATGTTGGTTTGGGGGGTTCCGTTGTTGTCGCAGGTGTAGAATTCAAAGGTTTGAAATCAGTACCAACTGGCCCTGGCACAGCTGCTGCAGCCTGTGAAACACACAGACTGGTCAGTGTTTATTCTCAAATAAATTTTTCATTTAAGAAAACTTAAATGATGACTGTTAGACCTCTGAAACGTTCCAGTGAGATATATGATTATACAAGCTTGACAAAAGTAAAGTTCAGCCTTATTGCAAACTAGAGCAACTGAAACCAAGACAAAATAAACCCCGGTATGTACACATATACACACACACACAGGAAAGTCTAAAATCTGCAGGTCAAAAGCCACCACAACAAAGGAACAACAAAGAAAAAAACACCCTATACTTTATCTCAAACACTGAATTTGGCAAATATGTAAATCTTTCCTGAATCACTATTTTTAGGAGCCTCTAAGCATAGATTTATTATTAGTCTTTCACTAAATTAACATATTTCAGCAACCATTAGTTTAGAGTACAGCTCAAAGTGCTAGTATTCATTAAAATTAGGTATTTAAGAAATATTTTAATCAAATATTTATGAAAGCTCTATTGTGTCAGGGCTTTAAGTGTTCTCTCTATAAACACAATGCAGTATCCTCACAAAGTACTATGTCTATCCACAGAACTTTAATCTTATTTGTGAATGAAGAATCAATGGAAGCAGGTAAGAGGTCCACTAGAGAGTCCAACACTTCATCTCTCCTACTCTTTTGTTACAAAAACCCTGTAAAGGTCTGTTTTGCAAAGCTGTATCTGAAGACACAGCAATCTCCAAAGCAAACCCTAGTTATGAGGGAATGATTTTGTTTCTAGTCACTGGATATTTACAACTATCTGAATCTCTCAATAAAAAAAAAATTAGCATTTTGCACATAACGCAAATTTAAAATCCCCTACATTATGATGTAACATATTAAACAACATAAACTAAAAAGCCTTCACCATGCATCAAGCTAACCACTGCCCACTAAAATGCATTTAACTGCTTTCATGCTCTTTTAACCCTTTAGAACCAGGATGTTACATTTCATTCTTTCACACTAAGAAAAATTGGGCACTTTGACATGCTTATTTCTGGTAAGATGCAACTCATAATCAAGGACTCTGTAGTTTTACCAGCTAAACATAATCAGGAATATAACAAAAATTATCTGAAGATGTTTAGTCAATTTTAGATTTTACAGAATGGTCCAAAGGGTTAAGTTGCAAAGCAATTTGTTTTAAACTGTGACTTCCTGCGTACTTGTGCTGTGCTAGGAAACAGAGCGTTAGAAGATGCTGAGAGACTTTCTGAATTGGAGGAAGCTGCACTTGAGCTTGTGACAGGTGTCCCCATCTGTAGCATAAAAGAAAGGAAACAGTGAAAAGTCTCCAAACAAATGGGCGGACAGTATCCAGATGAAAGGATTTCTTATACTAAGCCCTTTCTTATGAAAGGATTGTATTTTTGTAAACATGTATAGTCCCCGCAGAAGCCCAAAATGCCAACAGTATATTACAAAGGCCTCTGCAACACACTTGAAAGCAAGTAAGAACTCCAGGACCCACAAAAAAGTGCATTCAAAGGGAAGAGGTCACAAGCCACTATCAATTCCCCACTTCCCCCCACAAAACACTGAAATTAAATTTTCACTACACCAACTTACTCCTAAACTTTTTGAAGTAAGAAAACCTCCTATCTCAGGCAATGTTTAACCAGTTTAACAAGAGTACAGAACAAATTTGTCCATTTATCAGTAGAGAGCCCATTATGTGCAAGTACAAGTCATGTAAAGATTTTTAACTTGGAGAGGTAGAGTTCTACGCAATCAGACTCCTACAGCTAACACAGCTCTTCACCCACCCAAAGTTCCCTTAACAACAACACAATTAAAGGCCTTTAAGAGTGTTTCGCCTACTCCTTTCTTCCCCAGTGCTTACAGAACTTCTCTCTGGTTTCATAGCTGCTTTAAGACAAACAAAAGAATATTTTAAAATTTATTCAAGCACTACACTGAATTAAACATCAACCCAAGCAAAAACCTGAACCAGTCATTTCTTAGACCTCCTCAATAATAAATAGGCACTATTGACACAGTGGCAATTTGAAGAACACGACAAAGATTCCAGGCTCTGGGATACCTTACCTGCCCTGCGCTTGGGAAGAGTGGTTTGGTAACTGGAGGCTGTGGAGTTGGTGCTGTTGCAGCAGGAGCTGGAGGCCGGTTCAGAATGCCCGGGGCTGTAACAGGCTGTGCTTGTGTCATTGGAGGCATGCCAGGCCGAGGCCCAACAGGAGGGGGCATCCCTACAAACCACAAACAACGGGCGGCGGATCAGGCTCCAGGGAGCACCAATATTCCTTTAGACAATCCCGCTCCCGTGTTCCTTAGAACAAAGTTTCCCACTACAAGATGTATTTTTAAGGCAACAGTAAAATAAAACATGACAAAGGGTAATGCCAGCAGTCAAGAGTCAATGGCTATGCACAGGCAGTAACCTCTAACACTTCAGAACAATGCTGGATTCAGTTGATTTTTACTAAAGCTGCAATAATGAAGTTTATGCCCTCAATAAACCAATACAATTCATGCAGTAACTGTTTCTGCCACACTGCAGGTATGCTGCCAAGAGCGTGGATGATACTGTTACAAAATCTGAGAGACTGAATTGTTTCTGAACAGTACCAGAAGTGCGACAGAGCCACTGCCAGCTTTACTGGGGCCAGCAGTAAAGTGCACTGGGACATTTCACAGTGTCACCACAACACCTGCACTTGTGTGTGTGGAGCTCTAGGAAAGGGTCAGTGGCAAGTTAACAGCTCCCATGGGTTCCATCAAGCAAACCAGTTACTGGTCAGATGGAACACCCAGGGAACTCAGGGCTACTTAAGAGCTGCACAAGCTCAACAAACATCTCTTCTAGCTATGGTAAGAGACCAAAATGTCAGTTAAGCTTCTTCACACTGCAGGCTCATTAGCTGGGCAACTATTCCACCCAGCTATTCCCCACTTTGCACATTTTCAGTCATTACTGTTTTCCAACTGCAGCCACAAACATTAATTAAAAAAAAAGGATGAAGAGAGACCAGGCAACACAACAGTGTGAGAAAATGCAATAAATCAAAGAAACAGTATTCTGTTTTTTACTTCAATAATAGTATAAAAGTAAAATAACTATTTATAATCAGAAGCTATGAATCAACCACCTCTGCACACAGTGGCTTCTGTGGCAGTCCAACCACATGAAGGTGGTGGGTGGTGGCATAAGTCAGAATGTTTATTACAAAAATTCTAAATCTTAGTAGAAAGAAATAAATATAATTAAACTCTCACCATAGTACGAGTTCGACAACCCTGACCTACCTGGTGGCATACCAGGCATAAGAGGTGGGATTCCTGGCCCAGGAGGCATCATTCCACCCATTGGCATCATCCTATTGAAAAGAAAATGAGCACTGGTATGAACACACGTGACCAAGTTTTAAGACAATTGGCACATCCCTGTATTAGACAAAAAATAATGGTAAATAATTTCAAGAAGCTCTCAAGAGAGGGAATTCCAAACCAGCTCCACAAGAATAAAACCAAAACATAACCCAGCACCCAAAACCCCAAACACTTATTTGAACTTTAATTTCTCAAGATCTCACTGTCTCTAATATGAGATTTCCAGAACTAGTGTCTCTTGAAATCTCTGTCAAGATTACAGGCTGCAGCTGAGTGTTCCAAGGACCTGATCTCAGTACATTCATGGAGTCAATGTAGGAAAACCAGCTAGCTCCAATCACACCACAATCACTGGATATCTGCTACTACTCCTCTCTGACACTGACTGGCAGATAACCCAGAGCTGCAGAACTATCCAAAAAACATTGACAAAAGCAGAGCAGAGATCACAGGGCAAGAAGGCTTCCAGAATTTCAATTACAGAAAACAATCCATATACTAATGACAAAGTGGGATTTTGGTTTTTTAATGAACATCCTCACTGTAACATATTTTTTCTCCACATTAAAAAGAAACGATTTGGTTTCTCTTCCTAAATGACTATGTATGAGCCCTTTACAGGGAACAACCAAGTGTAGCTTAATTTTGCTTAATTTTTTGCAGACATTCAAAAACGGATTAGGGAAACAAAATAAAAGAATGTTTATTACTTTAGTGAGCAAGATCAGCTGATCTGCAGCACTCCAGCACAAACCAAAATCCCACTAAGAAGCAGTTTCTGTTTGTATGACAGTTAAGACACCTTCACCACTGCTGTTTTCAGATCAAATCCCATGAACAAGTGAGCATTCTTTCTGGCAAGTCTGATTTCTGCTCTCAACTCATCTATCACTGCAGAGGCAGCAATGACTGGGAACACAGACCCATCGTCCCTTTTTTGGTTGGAGAAGGCAAAGTCAGTCTTGCCACCCAGCAGACCCCAAAACAAGTGCTGGGTGCTCACTGCCTGCTGCTCCAGAATGACTTCTGAGAAAGTGCAGATAGTGCTAGAACTGGTGTCACACCAACACCAAAGTTGCTTTGTCTCTCCTAATTCTTTGGTCATTGTTAAGCAAAATTTAATCAGGTTAAGAAAGCAAAACTTTAGATTAGACAAAAGCATAACACAACATCATCCTCTCCCCCCAAAATGAAATGCAGTGAAATTTTGGCAAATTAATTTGTGTTTTTACAGGTGACATAACATACACCTGAAGTTAACAGGGAATTTAATGAGGACTAAGTATCCGACAACCTGATTAAATTCTGCTGAGTTTCCACCCAGAAAAGCTAAATTTCTGATCAGCATCCACACCATGTTCGACTATGATATGATTTTTCAATTCAAAGGCTGTTAAATCAATATTTATGTCTCAGAAGTCAAGGAGCTTTCCCCTCAGTTAACTTAAAGTTTAGATTAAACTGAGTTCCTGCAGAATGTCCTGCAGCGTGAAGGATCAAGCACATGGAGCTGCTCAAGCTCTGGCTCAAGAGAGGCTTTAAGTCTCTAAGGGTCTGCTTGGTTTATATTTTGTTGAATGCATTTCACATACAGTTTTGTATTTAGATAAAACATAAAATATGTGTTTAGATAAAACATAAAACCTTCACATATTATACAGTAACAAAACCTAACTAGACACCTTCCCCAAATTCTTAGGCAATATTCAAAGATTTTCAGTAAAACAATTTCTAGCTTATCAAAAACATGACATAAAATGGCATAATGAATGTACCTAGAATTACATTAATGAGATGCTTACATGTTTCCACCACAAAATGACTGCATGTATTTTCTCTGTTGATGTAATCTGTGAAAATTTATGACAAAATCAAAAATCTAACTGTGAATTTCCAAACACATTGTGATAGGGTATGGTGTCAACCCCATAACAAGCATAAAAACCAACATCTTTTGCCCAAAATACAAGAAAAATATAAACTGCCCAGTACTTTTTTCCTCTTATGTTGATGACTGATAACCAGATGCACAACATATGTGCAATACACAAGGGAATAGTGGCTCACAGAAGGCTCTAAACCAACACAACAAAATTTTGTATTAATATATTACTACTTAATAACTATTAAGTCAGGAGAAAGGCAAGATACTTTATACATAAACCCAGTTTGGCCATATTTTACATGTTGGTTTACAGCCATCCAGTTCTTTGGCTAGTCTTAAATATTTAAGTTACAGAGTTCACAATTCCCTATTGTACATTCTTTTAATTAGCTTTACTTTTTCTATGAGTTTAAAATGCACAGTATGAACATGTAATATTAAGTCTTTCTTGCTACTTACCCAGGTGGCATTCCAGGCATAACTGGAGGCATTCCAGGCATCATAGGTGGAACACCTGCCATTAATGGGGGTATACCTAGAAAGAAAAATAAATTTTCAACAACTCTGATAACATACAGTTGCAAACAAATGTCATCTAATAAGTTTACACTGGATAAATGCTTTACAGCAAGTTCTAAAAAACTGGGTTCTGAAATAATACTGCTTACAAACAGTGCAATATAAACACTATCTGCAAATTTGATTTTGATTGATTGTCCTCAGCCCTGCAAGACTCTGAATTTCCTTAGTGGTCTCCAAAGAAGACATCTTACTACAAGAGACCATCCTTCACTCACTGATCAAACTCTTTCCTCACTGTATCTGTGGCCTGGGTATGAACGGCCTGTTCTGTTAGGAGTCTCCAGATGCAGAGCAGCTCTGCCCTGTTTCCAAACCCTGGGATAAACAGTATGAGCAAGTATCACTGCTAGACTTCTGCCTGAAGCACTAAGCTGCCTTACAACCACAACCTTCAATCTACATGCCAGCATCAGGTATCTGAATCTAGTCCACCAAGGAAGATGTGCTCATGCACAGAGGAGGGAAGAAAACGAACCAACTGCTTATCTGCACCTCCCAGAACTATTCTGTGACCCCAATGATAAAAGGGCAGATTAGCACTCAAGCATACAAGCAGCAATTCGTGTTTCTGTGAGGTTTTCAGCAATGACCTAACATAACACACCCACTCACCTGGAGGCATCCCTGGTGCACCTGGCACAGGAGGCAAACCTGGCTGTGCCATTGGGGGAATGTAGCCCTGCTGTGGCTGAACTTGCTGGGGTTGAAACGAAGTTGAAGCTGCAGATTCATCATCTTCATACTCATCAGAATCATCCTGTTGTTTCTTTTTCTGGCTCTCTGCAGACAGTACAACGCATACGGTCAAACTGAACATAAATTATATTCCATAGAATTAACTAACAGCAAAATTCAAACCTTGCCAGTGCTCAAAAAGTCACAGAAATACAAAGAAAGAATGCTGTGTGAGCCCACCTGCAGCCATAAATAAAGGGAAGGAATGTGACTCACACTGCCATTACCCTGAACATACAGAGGGATCTGCCTTTGTGTCAATATCATGCTGTCCTGCATAAACCAAAGCAGTTCAACCAAAGGCTTGAACAGCAAAGAAACTGAAGCATTTGGGAATCACCAGGACAGTTTTACCTCTAGCCTTTCCTCCCCTTACCCTCACAAACAAATGACCATGTCCATATTCGTTAGGTAATTGTTGTAGCTGCTCTGGCAGCAGCTACTTGTGAACACGAAAGGAAAAATCCCTCCCACGTGGCTGGCAAGTGCCTGGAGCTGCTGGCAGAGAAGGAATTAAATCCCACCCTCACTGAGTGCCACAGCTGAGTAAGGAACACACCAGGGAAATGACAACCAGCCACATTCCACCTTACCCTGAGTTTTTTGTTCAAGTAACCTCCTCCGTTCCTCCATGTCTTTTTCTGGAATGCCTTCCATTCCATAGATTTCCAGTTCAATGTCTGTTCTTCCGGGAATAGCATTTGGAACAGCATCTATTGTTTCTTTATGTACCTAAAGAAAAAAAAACCCAAATAAAACCTGCTGACCACGTTTCAGGGTAAATTCTCTGTGTTCTTCAGGCAGTTTGAAGACAGAAAAGGAACACCCTTCATGGGACTAATCTCTCTGGCCAAGCATTTTCTTGATCTGTGTCTCCTAATCTCTGTAACTACTATTACCCCTAAAACCAGCTTACATTAACTTAGAAAAACTGAGACAGCACAATTCCTTCACTCCTACAAAACACTCCTGAGAAAGATCTCTGCTGCACAGCGGCCATTTGACTGCTGACACAGCAGGACTCCTGTGCTGCAAAGAGGCCACTGCTGTCTTTTTCTCACCTGTTTTACAGACTCTGGAAGCCCCTAACCCCCCATCTTAAGGACACTTCAATTTTAGATACTGTAAAGAAAAGCTCACGTAAATCTAAAACTCCTTACCTGCATGCAGTGTATAGCTAAACCAGGTCCTGTATAGAGTTTCTTATGACATATATGGCATTTAAAGTGCTTTGCTTTTTGATGCTGTATAAGGATTTTCTCATCATCAAAGTCCCTATTACAGTACCTATTGAAGACTGTTAAGGAAACATTTAATACTGGAAGTGACCTTTTAGCTACGACTAGGGTATCGAGCATCAGTTTGATTTTTCTGAAGCAAAAGAAAGGCACAAGAAGCATCTCTGAGCATTCAAAGAGTGACAAACATTTAATGGATGTCTGAAAACAAACACCCTCATCCAGTACAGCACACCCCTCTTTACACAGGTACAGAAGTAGGAAGGTGTCTGCACACAATCAGAATCATCTGATTCCATATTGCTTGACTCGTGGTTTTCAAGTCCTACCTATTTTTCTCTTCAGGGGTGTGAATGCTGCTACAGCATTAAAGGAGAAACAGGCTTGAAATCAGCAAAAGGGAAATTATGCAAATCACTCAGAAATGCCTCTTTAATCAATTACCAGTAACTAACAATCATAAAAGAGAACAAAGGTTTTACTTTAAAATTTCCTTCCTCTTCCAGTTATCCAGCTATCAATTTTTATGACACAGCATAATTTGCTGCAGTAACTGAAGAATTCAGCTTTTAAAAAGAAATATTTTAATCAAAGAACTGTTTGGACGTCTACGTAACACCAGAGGCAAACTGCATTTCCTTTCTGTGGGCCAGCATTGATATTTCAGCAAACACTCCACACATTTCCCTAGGTGAGAAAAATACACATTATCTATTTATTATTAAGAAACTGTTAACATTGCTAACACACTGTGTCTCTTGCTTCCACCAAAACGTGAAATAATGTCTAAAACAATCACAGATGCCTCCCAAGACAAAATGGTAAAATACCTCGGAGCACCTTTTAAGCTTCTTTATTAAACAATTCTAGAGAACAGAAACGTAAGAGAGAGAGTAGATTTATAATCACTCCGAAAGTGAGTACATTCTGAAGGAGCGATCAAATAAAAATTCACCAGTATTGCTGGATACTGAACAATTAAACCTGATCATGATGCAGCAATTATAAACTGAAAGCTCCCCCCGTCACGAAGAAAAAAAAAAAGCTTTAAAAATTCTCTTTTAACCACATCCCACCTCATTCCGTGAATAAATGTATTTATCAGTAGCAGGATTTTCTCCCTTTAACATTCTCCCTCACAAAGGATAAAGACAACTCTCCATTTCCCGCTGCCCTGGCTTTAGGGATCGGGCGAGAGGCCGCGGCCTCGGCGAGAGCGACAGGAGCGGGCCGGAGGCCGTGAGGGGGGTGGGGAGCACAAGAAGGCCGCGGACTGAGCCCCATCCCGAGGAGCACAGGGCTGGAACAGGGCCAAGCACCGAGACAAACCGTAAGGATCGTGCGGAGAAGGGCTGAGCCCCATCTCGGTACGAGACGGAACGGGACCGAGCCCCGACCGCGCCAGGCCGCGCCGCCACCCTCCCCCACCCAGCTCTCTGCATCCGCCGCGTCCCACACAGAAGGATACCAGCACCAAGGCTTCAGCTGCTTCTTCTTCTTACGGCCCATGGCAGCGTCACCCCGACCTACAGGGCAGGAGAGCCGAGCGCTCCCTCAGAACCGCAGCGACCGCGCGGCCGCCCCGGACCGAGCGAGAGGCACAAAATGGCGGCCGAGCTCCCTCAGGCGCCGCTGCGGCCTCCGAACTCCCAGAACGCACCGCGCCAGCAGGGCGGGCGGCGCCCACGTGACGCGCTCGCGGTCGCCCCCGCCGGGCTGTCCCGTGACGCCTCACGGCGCCGCCGCCATTTTGGCCAGTCGGGGCTGTAAGGGCTCTGCCTGCGGCACCTGAGCGTGTCGCGGGAACAGTCACGGAGTGGTTTGGGCTGGGAGGGGCCTTAAAGCCCATCTCGTGCCACCCCTCTGCCATGGGCAGAGAGACCTTCCGCTAGAGCAGGTTGCTCAAAGCCCTGTCCAACCTGACCTTGAACACTATCAGAGATGGGGCAGCCACAGCTTCTCTGGACAGCCTGTTCAGGGCCTTAGCGCTCTCAGAGCAACGAGTTTTCTCCTAATCTAAACTGTTGCTTGTCTTCGTGTTTTATGTCACAGAGAAACTGTGTTTTCCCCATTAATGTTACTGGTCAGGAAGCTGGCTGCTCTGTGCAGTGTTCTGGTACTGGCTGTACCTGTGTTGCTGGGTGCGAGAACACAATAAAACCAACTTAAATGTGTTGAGCCATCAGTTACCTGGATGGGGGATGGTCCCTCTGTTACAGTGACAATCCATCAGGGTGTGTGTCTGTGTTACCCCCATGGTTCTCCACCTCAGTTACAGGTCCACCAGGTGCTTAGAAGAGAATCACAGAATCATTGAGGTTGGAAAAGACCTGTAAGATCATCAAGTGCAGCCATCTGCCACGTCCAGCCCTTGGCAGTGGCCCAGTGCAGCTGGGGGTCACAGCTGCTCCCTGCAGGGCTTGTCTGCAAAAGGAGATTGTGGAGTCTCCATCTCTAGAGGCATTCCAAACCCACCTGGATGTGTTCCTGTCACCTGCTCCAGGTGACCCTGCCTTGGCAGGGGAGTTGGACTGGACGATCTCCAGAGGTCCCTTCCAACCCCAACGATTCTGTGATTGTGGTTCCGTAACTACCCGGTAGCCACAAGGCCGAGTTAACAAACGTGCTGTTTTAACACGGAAAAGGTATTTCAGAAGCAGAACTTTTTAAAAGCAGACAGCATGGCTGATCCTACCAAATCCCCTTCCAACCCAAACCATTCTATAATTCTAAATGTGATTTGAGTAGATCCTGCCGTTAAGTCAGTGACCGGTTTTGAAGGATTACTTGGACTGACAGAGGCACCGCGGCGCTTGTATTGCATTTTTCTGTGCATTACACAAACGGAGGAGCGGCGGCAGCCGGAGCGGTTTTAGCACGGCTCGGTACCGCCCTCGGTAGGGTGAGGACACGGCCCGTGCGCTCCGAAGGCTCCTCCCAGCTCCGGGCCCCGGGGCGGGTTCACGGCACAGCCGGCGGGGCGGGGCGGTAGCGGGGCCCGGTGGCTCCCCGCGGCACAGGCGGGGCCGGGGCCGCGATGCTGCCGGCGCTGCCGGACGGCGATGAGCGGGAGCTGGAGAGCAGCGAGGAGGGCGGCGGCGCGGGCGAGGAGCGGCGGCCGGAGCGGCACGGCTGCACCTACCACAGCCTCTATGGCTACCGCAGGTGAGGCGCCGGGTTCCCCCGCGGGGAGGCCGTGCCCAGGCCTTGGCCGTTCCCAGCTCCCTGAATTCCCTTTATTTTTTTTCCCCTTCTTTTTCTCCCTGGTGAGATTCTTTCACTCCCACAATGCACGGATTCCCTACTCCTGCTTTTATTCGCCCTCGGGCCGTGCCTTTTCCCTGCTGCAGCCGCTGTTCCCTGTTGCGTGTCACGGCTGTAAACTCACTCCGGCAATCCCTCGGGTTCCAGGTCCGCGCAGCCGGGAGCCGCCGCCGGGGATGGCAGTGCCGGCGGCGCCGTGGCGCACACACCCTCCGCTGAGGACTTCAGGTAAAGCCGAGCCGCAGAGCGGCACAATCACGGGAATACCCCGATTTGAAGTCTTTGCCGTATTGTTGTCAGATCACTGTTAGGTCCTCTGCACTCCTTTCAAAACACAACCTCCCTCTGAAAGCATTCTGGAGTCCCCATGGCACTTCTTTTGGAATACCTGGAGAATGGACACGCATACAGAGCTCAAGTAATGTATTAAACAGAAACTATCATCCTTGAGTTTGAATTTTTTTTTTTTTTTTTTTTTTTTTTTTTTTTGCTACTAGTAATTGATATTGCTGTATTGACTTAGTTTTTCATGTAGGTAACATACAACAAGAATTTATTAATTTTCAAAAGATGTCTTCCCATAAACTCTGTATTACAGTTGAGGAAATTTAGGAACAAAGAGGGCAGTGTTTTGTCTGTAGCTGCTGGGAAGGTCAGCATGAGCTGACACCACATCTCCAGACTCCTGGTCAGTGGGCAAACCACTGACTGCTCATGATGGGCCAAAAGTCACAGAGCTGCCTTAGCTGCCACCAGAGAGATATCACAGGGAGTCCCTGCTAGAGGCAGGTTCTGCACATCCTGAGAGACACTAAACAATAACATTTGCCTTTGGGTAACGATTTCCTCTGGTTTTTAAAGCCTCTCCTTGCTGGACACCAACCTGCCCGCCGAAGCGGAGACGGAGTTGCGCAGTTTCATCGCTAAGCGCCTTACTAAAGGAGCGCTCTTTGAAGGAATGGGGAATGTAGCATCAGTGGGGCTGAGGTAAAATTTTGAAATTATTGGTGAATGAGAGCTGTAAGGAACATTGGCACATCTTGCCTGCCTGCTGCTGCACTTAGTTTAATCCTGATTCCATGTTCCCAGTCTGTTGTTGCTGTTAATAATAGCCTTACACAAAAACACTTTCCTTTTTTAAATAACTTTGAGAAAAATACTGTTTTAAATAATTTACTGTTTGAATACTTTAAAAATACTTCAGATGTTTATGATTACTTCCTTTTAAACAACTCTTATCACACAGAAGAAAAAAGAGAAGGTCTAAGAGCTGCACCTATGGCTGCACCTACCACTGCCATTGGAGCCAACAGTGCTACCTGTTAAAATTACCTCAGAAATAATGTATGTCTGCTTTTTGCACTCATTTATTGTGATGTATCTGGAAGAAAGTAATTTTTCTTCCTTTTCTCATAGCATACCAGAAGGTAAAGTTGGGTGTTACTACTGTCGTTTCCAACAAGAAAGTCTTCTGGAAATGGCAACGTTGGAATCAGACATCAATGCTCCAGAATATGTGGTTTGTTTCTTAGGTGGCTCAGAGAAAGGTCTGGAACTATATCCTTACCTTGAACTTTCTTTACCTGTATTGGGAAAGGGGCACGATGGATAAATTATCTTGTCATTTTGTCTGTTCCTACTTGAAATCACTCGTTTGTGCACACCTTTCAGTAACTGCAAAAGTCAGTAATAACCATATACTGAAAGGAAAAAATACAGGTCTTAACTGATGCATCTTATTTTCCTTAAGAAGATACTTTCAGACTTGAGCTGGACAAATACATTCAAAATCTGAAGATAAATCTTGATTTGGAGGTAAGACCTAACTTTTTTTTTAAGTGGTGAAAATTAGTATTTATGCAGGTTAATTGCTAAAACCATCTGGAAGATCTAATCTATAGAGACAAAATAGGTGTTTCAAGTACCAGTATGAAACACAGGGAGAGATACTTGACTCACTGTAGTACAATGAATGTCTAAGGTGCTATCAGCCACACAAGTCAAAAGAAAAAAAGAAAGGGGGGACCTTTTTGTGTCAGTCATAAATCTCTTAAAGGTCACTTACTGTTAAATTTGGAGAGAAGAGTAACCAATAAAAACTAATGGTCTATAAGGAACTTATCAATGTCCACCTCAGTTCTTGCCAGTTCTGAATGTTAAGAAAGGACATTTGTGGGTTTCTTGTCACAATTTTCTAGTGGAAGTTCTGCATTTTAAGTCTTTTTTGTCATCCCATCTGCTGTTGCATGGTTTTCACTCAATATATACCATAATATTACAGTTCTGGCTGTTTCTTAAAATGCAAAGCCTTTCATTGCCAATAAATCTCAAACTCACTGTTTTAGTTCACTGTGGTTTGAGATTAGGAAGGTCCCAACATCCAATTAGCTGAGATTGAGTAGATTATTAATAGGCTTCTATTGATGTAGAAATCTGATTTTTAGTTAAAATTTTAATGCTTAATGTGTTACAGCAAAAAAACTTGGAGGCCTGTGTTAGCCCATACCTGAGGAGCTGGTTTGAGGATGCCATCTGCCCTATCCAGAGGGTTGTGCAGCTCTTCCAGGACAAACTTGTCTCTCTGCTACATGCTGTAAGTGTATTTAAAACTGGCTAGCTAAAAAAAGCTAAAAAACCTTCAAAAGGCATCTCAGTGACTCCAAATGTTTAAAATATTTCTTTCATTTGCTTTCCCAGCAGGAGGAAATTAAAAACCCTCATTTTTTTTTTCTTTTTGTTGGGTTTTTTGTATGTTTGTTTTTTAAATTCAGAGCAAGCACTTTTCCCCTGCTTATTGCTGAAGAAGCACATAACAATTCCTTCTGTCACTTAAAAAAAATTACTTAATGGTGTCCACACTGAAATTAGAGTAAGAAAATCAGAAATAGCATGAGCAGTCTGTCCATGCCATAATTGTCTGAATGAAAAGGGATGTTATATTGTGTATGTGTCTTGTGTAATTCACTGGAAGCAGAAAAGAGACAAATCCTAGCTCTAGTCCCTGAGTTTGAGGAGGTTCTGGATGGAATAGCTAACAGAGTATAACTGCTGAATTTCTTCTGAGTGCAGAACCTGTAATGGCAATAATAGAGAGTACTGCCTTGACAAGGGCAATTTTTAAAGTACCACATTATGTATTAATTGCTCATAACTGCAATATAGCTACAAAAGTAATACTGAAGTTGTATCCATCTTTTTCCTTTTTTTTTCTCTTTGTTTCTTTTTTTGTTTAAGGCTCTGAGTTACACTCCTGTAGAAGTCAAAAATGCAGATGAAAGAACAGAAAAGGACATCAGCAGGTAAAGATAGTTAGAGCCCAAGGAACCTTTGAGTAACTTGGCTACTGTGTCTGACGGTCCCCTCAGTGTGCAGGAGCTGGAAAGGAGCAAGCAGTTGACAAGAGCTTTCTGTGTCAGGTTCCTGGCAGCTGCCAGCCTCCAAGGACTTGTCCAGGAAGGCACAATGACCTCCCTGTGCATTGCCATGACAGAGGAACAGCACAAGTCCATGGTTATAGACTGTAGTGGACCTCAGCCCCAGCTGCATAATGCAGGTGAGATTACAGCAGGGAACCCTTCCTGTTGCTCCCTTGGGTCCATCAGCTGCTGAGAGCTGTGACATTGAGGATATTCAGATCATAGGCCCAGAAACTTTAGGTTCTGTTTTCCTGTGAGGTACCAGAGTAGTTTGTTACACCAGACACACTGGAATTCTGGGTTGAAAATGCTTGGCAATAAAATCCACAGTACATTTAGTTTGTGGACCATGAAAGTATGACTTGTACTTCAGGGAAGTATGACTTGTAATTCAGCGAATCTGCACAACTTTTTTCCTGTTGTGGTTTTGACAAATGTTGGGAAAAGGGATTCACCAATCAGAACACAGTCTTGCGCAATCACTGTCACTGTGTTTGCTTTTCTTTTCCATGTGTATTGGTTTTCCTTAAGACTCATTTCCTGGCCCAGGTATATTGCTATCACTTGTTATGTGAGAGTGATTAAACCAGGTGAATGCAGCTGTATATTTATGTGGAGCTCATTTGCTTTTTCTCATCTCTTCTCTGTGTTCCTGCACATTTAACAGGAAGCAACAGATTCTGTGAGGACTGGATGCAAGCTTTTGTGAATGGTGCTGAAGGTGGAAATCCATTTCTCTTCCGGCAGATTTTAGAAAACTGTAAATTGAAGGTACCTGTTCATATATGTTAAAGACTTGAAGAAGATATTTGGGTTACTGTGGGAGCAAATACTACACACAAAATATTATTTTGCACTGAATAAAAGTTTTAGGTTATTATGATATCTATATGTCTGTTAACTGACTAACTCTGAAGTTTAATTTGAGGGCTGGCTTACTGTAGTTGACAAGAACAGCTGTAAAGTAGTGTCAGAGTTTCTTCAGTGAATGCTCCAAAGGTGTTTTCTCAAATTTGAAGTAAGACCCACCTTCATTGTTACTGTTTTCTTCAAATACTGTTAATCTGAGACTTGCACACACAGTCTCATGTAACTGGTAACAGGGGTTCAGTAGCTAACAATTCTTAGCTGCCATAATAGAATTCATGCTACAAGTTGGACACATCACGTTGTGTCCACACATTTTGCATCATTACAGTTCCAGCTATAATATGCATCCAAGACAATATTCAATTCTTATACTACTCTTAAGTAGTAATACAAAATTTCTGTTGGAAATGCTTTTGCTTCTCCTGCTATTTATCCTTTATTTTCCACAATAGTGTGTTTTCATTCCATGTAGGAGGATAAGCAAATGCTCTGTTGCTCTTTGCCAGGCCATCCAGGACATTAACAACCTGAAGAGGTTTATCCGCCAGGCTGAAATGAACCACTACGCCTTGTTCAAGTGCTACCTGTTCCTAAAGAACTGTGGCAGTGGAGACATCCTGCTGAAGATTGTGAAAGTAGAACATGCAGAAATGCCAGAGGCCAGGAATGTAGTGACCGTCCTGGAGGAATTCATGAGAGAAACATCAGTGGCTTAAAATTATCTTATGTATAAATCATTAATTTCTTCTGTGCAGTGCAGCTATTGCTGGATTTTTAATTTATATTTAAAAGTATTGCCCAAGTCAAATCTTAGCTGCAGTTTCACCTGCCTTTTCTTGGTTTTAGACAAAGCACTATGAGCTTTTTTAATGTGTACATATCAGATAATACAAACTCCTGCAGAGTTTTCAGATTCTCCAACTGACTTGCTCCTGTTCTGAGGAAATCATGACATTTGATTTTTATAGTCATTGCAAAACCAAACCCAAATCTCTTACCTGGCAAGCATGTCACTGTTCTAAATAATTTAAATATCTTTAAAATAATTTAGATCTGGCTGCTTTGTTTTTATAAAGAAGTACAAACATCTGGATAGATCTAGATAATGAATTCATCATTTTAGTTTAGAAATGAGAATTTAGGTACCAAGTCTGTGTCTGGTTTCTGCTTTCAAACTGCTGGTTTGTTCTGCTGCCACTGGATAAACAAGTTGGTAGTTGTGTGAAGCAGAGCAGCCTGAAGACTGAGCCATTGCAGTGGTCAGTTTGTATGTGCCTGTATGTGTGCATACACACACACAACAGGTACCTGAAATTCCCAGGCTATTTGATGTATCCTCTTCTTCCTTAGGCTGAGATGTGATCAAGACCTTCTTTGTATGTTCTTATATTACAGTTTTGCATAACTGTAAATAATGCTATGTTTTTCAGTCATGAAGAAACTAAAGAGTTTCTTCTTTAACATTTAATATTAAGACTTCTTCAGAATTTGAAATAAATGAACTTCCCAAATTAATTACTCAGACTTTAAAACATTAATTACTCACTTTAAAACATTTCAGTGTATCAGCAATGGATTCTTACCCACATCATGGGACACATAGGCAGCAGAATACCTGAAGGAAATCTTTGGCTACAGCTGGAATAAAAACTTACGAAGTCTGTGAGTATTCTCATAAAGAGAGCAATTTCTGCAAACCTGATACAAGCAGAATTCCCTGTTTGTTCCCTTTGCAGCAGAGGGTGTTTGAACTCCCCTGAAACAGTGCCTGTAACTAATGTGGTTCAGTGTCACTTGTGCTGGTGCTCTGTACTGTGAGGGCAGGAGTTGCTGCTTTCCTGTGACACCACATGTTGAACCTATAATAAGGCTGACAATAAAACACGTTGAAATCCTCACCAGTGTGCCTGTAAATTGTCAGTGAGTGTGGTCCTTGATGTCTGCTGCTGAAATCCATTTATCCCTCAATGCAGAGGAGCTGCAAGTGTGGCATTAACAGCCATGGTGGCATATAATGTATTGGAGAGGAAAAGTAGTGTGAAAGAAAACAAACCCCTCATTCAGTCATTTGCAGGAGCTCTGAGAAGAAACAAGTGTTTTCCTTCATGAGTAAGTACAGCAGCAGCACTCAATAAAACATGTCACCTTTTGTTGCTCCTGTACATTCTAAAAAAATTGGAGCACTCGTGGTTGAGTTTTCTGGCTGATCAGGGCACAAGAAGGAGCTCAGTGCTTAAAACAGTAAGTTGGATGTGAAGAATAAGTAGCAAGAAAATGTATGGTGCTAGTAGGCTGAAACACTTTTTGTATTAATTGACAAAAGCTGACAAAACCCACCTTACCTTCATGTTGAAAGTCCTCAGCTAATGAATAGAGTGATTTGAGTGTCTCAGAAAGTTTAGTTCAGTGCAGAGAACTGACAGCAAGAGCTGAGTCCCACACATGGTACCAGGGATCTGCCTCCCTTTAGAGTAGCACATCTGACAGGAATTGCTCCTACATACATCTTCATTCCTACAAGTTACTCTTTAACCCAGTGTTTCCCAACAAAAACACAAGTTACTTTTCAAAACAAGCCTCTGCCTTCTACACTGGTAGAAGGATTTTTATTTTAGTCAGTTGGGGGTTTACTTTTTTCTGGAGATGTTGTTTCCACTCTTGATTTGATAGGAGTGTTGGCTCAGATTTGAAAACACTCAGTAGAGCCTAATGTTAAAAGAGCACAACCCTCCTCCCCAGTAAAAGAAATTTACTCAAATGTAAAAAAATGTAGAAAAATTTACTCAAATGTTGTCAACTTCCCTGCAGTTGTGAGGCCACGGCAGTGAAGGGACAGCTGCCAAAAGGTGGGACAACACCTGAATTTCCATACATGTCCCAAGCCAGTTCTGCATCCTCATTAGATCTTGTGGAGAAATGAAGCTGCAGTTCACTCTCCCCTTTATCTGTTAGACAGACATAAAAATGAGTTACCAATGTCATTATTAGAAGATTACATGGCAGAGCTCCAAACCAAGGGCTCTTTTGTTGAAAACTATGTTAACTGTAGACAAACTTACAAAATTGTCCTTGAAAGTTCTTTCTTGGTTTTTTTTTTTAGTTTGTGATATAGAACAACTCAATTTTATTTAAAAAAATAAATAAAAGAGAAATTAAACAGAAAACAAAGAAAACCACAAAAAATTTAATGGATTCTGCGCTCAAATAATATTGTCACAACAAAAATATACAGAATGTACACAATACAAAAATATTTGGAAACATACAATAGCATCTTACCTTGCAAATATCATTTTGCTTTACTAGCCCTTTACAGGGAAAGTACCATTTGTTCAGTATTTTAAGGCAGAAAATTATGTGGTTTAGTGCTTTGTGTTTCACACTTGGATGTGTTGTTAGCATTACTAGTGTAAGCAGAAGAAAAGCTGCATAAATCTGGCTTTATTTGCAAACTGAACAGACACTGTGGGAGTCAGGAGAGAGTCAGTGACAACGTGTCTATCAAGCTTGCTGAAAACAAGGTACTTTAGCTACTTGAATCATAGGGAATATTTTGTGCTTTGTGCTGTAAATACCCTGAAACACAAATTTTCTGTACTCCTACTGGCATATTAGAAAGCTTTTTCCAATTAAAAGCCAATGATTATTGGTGACATTAAAATACATTTGCCTTTAAATAAGCTTGGTTTCTGTCTTAGGTGTGATTCTTTAATATGGAACTGCAAAATACACAGCACTCCTTTATAACAAACTCTTGGCATCAGTGATCAGAGAAGGAATCTTTGAGTTCTACCCCAGAAAGCACTGCAGAGGAGCAGGGGAGCAGCAATATTCAGAGGTGCTGGCCTGGGCTCTCCGGTCCCAGCTTGCCCCAGAGGTGGCTGGTGCTGAACTGCCATGTCCCCATTCTCCAGTTCCACTTGGGGCAAAGCCAATGGGTGGGATGGGTGTTCCAGAGCAATTGGGCTGAGCTTGAATCTTTGTGAACAGACTTTGAGCTCTTTACTCACTGAAGGATGTGTGAAAGTCCTACCCACCATCTTGTGAGACTAAATATTGGCAGAGAACAGCAGCTGCCTTGTGAGGTCAGCTGTCATGTCAGTGCCAGCTCTGAACATGTCAGATGCCAGCCTCCAGAGCACAGTGCAAACTGAAAGGGCCCAATCTGCTCCGTAGCACATGGCCAGTATAATCCATCAGAAGCAGCAAGGTGTTGGGATACAGAATCCCTGAGCTTTATTTCTAGTAACAATTTCTCTAGCTTCCCCCTTCCCTGTTGATAACATACTTCCCACTGCCAAAGGAGCAAGTAGTGAAAAAGCACAATATGCCACGTAAGTGCTAAGATTCCTCATCAACTGACAAGGAAACAGTGACACAAGATGTTGTTTTAAAAACTCAGCAAAAGTAAATTCATCAGCATTTTTATGACTACTACACCTCACTCAGAAATTGTGTCTGGAAACCTCCTTTCCCATCACTGCATCACAACTCTCTCCCTCCTCTTGCCTATGTTATTACCGCTGTGTGTAACACTAATCTTTACCTGTCTGGGAATAACAGGTGCCACTGCAGTCGCCGTGCACTTGGATCTGCCTGCTTCTCCTCCTCCCTCCTGCTCCTCCCGGCTGCGGGAGCGCCCTGTCCGGCCGGTGCCGGTGCCGGTGCGGCGCTGCTGCCCGCGGCCGGCAGGGGTCCCCGGCAGCGCCGGCTGCTCCCCCGCCGCACCGCTCATCCTCATCCTCATCCTCATCCTCATCCTCATCCTCATCATCCTCACCGACCGAGCGAGCTCTGCTGCAGTCAACTCACCGCACGGGAAATCCACCCCCCGCTTCTTCCCTTTCCTCCCCCAGGTGTCGTGTCCTCGCTCAAGGACACAGCGTAAAATAACTTGCTCCGAGGTGCACTGCTCAAACCTGTACACTGGTGACAGTCCTTGCCTTCTGCTCCAGCACTGCACAGTCATAAGCTTCAATAGATTCATGGTTTATCTCACTGATAGAAAATCCTGGCAGTAGCTGAAATAAAACCACAACAAATCACTGAAACCAGTCCCTCAGTGGATGCTCCTCCAGGAACATGCTGCTGACTGTGACAGGTTGGAACCACAAATGAGCAGGATGGAGAATATTACATCTCCAACAGGAGCCAGCAGCTTCAAGGACATCTGGAGGTAACAGAAAAGCCTGGTTGCTGTTAGCTCTGTGGTGCTGCAGCACTGTGGCACTCCTGGGTGCCTTAGAAAAGAACATAACTGGAATTTACAATACTCTGTAAAAACATAGCAAGTTTTCACACTGTAATTTTAATGATTAAAAAAAATTTTTAAAAGCTTAAGCACTTTGTGCTGCTTCTGGCTCCATGGGCTGATTGATTCTTAGCAGACAACAGGCTCTGTGCACAAACTGCTCCATGTATGGGAGGAGATTTCAGCTCAATGAACAGGAATGTGAGAGGGTTTCATTCCTTCACCTTCCATAAATCTAACACTGCCTTAAAGTCTGGCCTTTCTGATCCCAGGGTTGTTTGTAAACTTGCTCAGGCAGGGTATGGGGACATAGAATGAAGTCAGGAAGATGGACAACAGTTTAAAAGAGCAAGTCATAAGATCAAATTCAGAGCTGTTTTCAACCAGTTCATGTAAACTACACTCATCTATGGAAAAAGGACCAAGGAAGGCTGTCTGCATTACTCTGTTCAGCTCCTTCCCACTCCTGAGCTGAGTAAAGACATTTTGGCCATGATCAAGCTGTTCAAGAAACTGGTGATTCTTGAACTTTTATCTTGCTGCTTCACCTCAGAGCACACACTGGCAGCAGGAAAGGCATGGAAGCCTTTACTGGTAAGAAACTCATGGGCAATAAGTAGCTTTCAGCTGAGAAACCAAAAATAAAAGTCACTTGGTGCACATTGCACTCTGGTAAATTATAGGCAAAATAATCTGGGCTTTTTTGCAATTGAAATTTTCTACCAAAATTTTAAAAGCTTTCCTAAGATTTCAGGAGAACTCCCATTCCTGGTCACCTCTGTTTTCAAGGCATCTGTAATGAGAAAGGCTTAGCAATAGGTGAGGGAAGGAATGTCCTCCTTACTTGATAACCATGTCAGAACTCTCCTTGCTCCTACTCTCCTTCCTGCCTGCTCCCAGGGGGATCCACAGCTACAGCACTCACTGGGCCAGCACCTGCAACAATCCATGGAACCCTGTGACTGCTGGGATCTGGACCCAAACTGCAGAGGTAAAATGGCTCAGGGAACCAATCCCTTCTCCAAAATGATCAGAGCTCTGGCCCTTATCCCTTCCTCTTGGTCCTCAGTGAGGGCCCATGAGCAATGTACTGGCCATGTAGAACAAGAAAAGTGCAATCGCCCTCAGAAATCTCATTTCTGTGCACAAAGGTGCCAAAAATTGTTTCTTTTGCAGGTAAGGCTTATTCCAAGCTCCAAATACAGTTATTTTCTATCCCCTCCTTCTGAGGCAACAGAAGTTTTATGAGTGCATCTGGTAGGAGAAGACTTCACCCCTCAGCCCAGAGTTATTTTTCCATAAGAGGCAAAGAAGGGGGAAGCTGATAAGCACTTGTGGGTGTCCCCTCTAGAAGGACAGGCTCGTACTAGCTTGTGGTATCATCTGGCAGCATGGAGAGCATAGCTGAGAGAAGAAAGTCCACAACACAGAGACATTTTTCTACAGAGCAAACACAACTGCTACGGTGCCCGTGGGATGTGCTGTGAAAGACTCTGGTGGCTGTGCCTGGGCACCAGCAGGAAATAGGAAAAAGGAAGAGAGGAGCTTGTCTGGAGAGACTATTATGGCTGCTTTGTCCAGACCTTTGGATAGGTGGGTAAAGGGCAGAGAAAAGGAGGGCACCCACAGTCCTGGACTGTAATTTGGCAGCTCTCTGAAGTGACAAGCAAAATAAGCACCTTACAGAGAAGAGTACCTATAAGCTCTGCTTGTGCTACAGATGTCCCCATGTGGTCCCTAAGTCTGTGCAGGCAACTGTGTGAACTGTGCCACAGCCCACTCACAGATTGCCTGAACTGACCAACATTACAGAAAAAGGCATCACTCAACCAACTCTTGTCTGGGGCTCCTGAACATCCACTGCCTCAGGAGGAGGCATCCTCGACATTTTAGAAATCATATTAAAATCAGTTTTATCCATTTCACAATGATCACTGTAGCAAATAACACCCTCTCCTCTTCATTGGGAAACCAGTGCTACATACAAACTGATTTAACTCCACTGCCTTCAGTGGACTTGGCCCCAAATGAATTGTATGGCTGTAAAGACTGGATAGTTCCCACCCTGGGCTGCTGGAGGTGATCATGGTCCCATTTTCCTAGTAAGAACCTGCTGGAAGAGTTGAGATCCTTGCTAGGAGCTGACTGCAGGACAGGTGTTAGGTCAGTGTGGTCGGAAAAATAATGAGAAGAAAACAGCACCTGATTGTCATCTGATAAAACCACAAATGAACATTTGGACTCCTTTTCTTCATCTCTCAAAAAAACCCCAAAAAAACCCCCAAAAAACCCAACAATCCAGCCACACCCTCTAGCCACAGCAGGCTGTGGAAGGGGGAATAATTAATGAAAATCAAGTGAAACATGCACAGGAAAAGTCACTTCTGGCTGGGTATCCACAACACTCTAAGATTCCCAATGTTTATAGTGCAATTTCATTTGACCTGTGGTTGAAGACCAGTCTCCATCACTTTGTGTGATCAAGTTCTGCCGATTCCTTTGAAAGTTGTGCAAGACAAGTTTCAGCAGAGGCTAAAATACCTTAGGAACCATTCAAGTAATGAGACAGTGGCACTGGTATGGCTGAACAGTCAGACGTGTCCAAAGAAACCAGACTCAAGCTGCCTTGTGAGTACCATTTGAGTCTCTAATTAGTAAATGCCTGCTCTTTTTCCCTTTTAGTGTTCAGTAACATGGAGGAAATTCACTGAACAATTGGCCACAATTCCAGCACTGACCTGGAAAATACAAATATCTCATAGAAAATATTGATGTGTGATAACAACCCAAGCAGTCAGTGCCCAGATGCAGGGCAGAAACTGCAGGGCATGGCCAGCCAGAGTTACAGAACCTGCTGGATTTGTGAACAAACTGATCAGCCCATTCTTTCATGAGATCTTTAAGCACCTCCTCCAGCACACTCACGTGTTCAGAAGAATCATCCTCCCAAGTGAAATACAAAAATAGATCCTCCATCTTCATTCATTTAACACAGCTGACAGATGACTTCTGCTCTCCAGTTTTCTGTCCCATGTTTTCAAGGAGGGGGAGGTAGCTTGAGATCCAACAGACTGTAGGCAAAAATATTCCAGAAGATGGCAAACAAGACAAAAATGACGTAAATAGAAAGGAAGATCCACCATAAAGTCTGATCTTGGAGTCTCTGCTCGTAGTTCCTCAGGATGATAACACCAAGGGTGATTCCAACCATGACCCCTCCCAGGTGGGCCATGAAGCTGGGGTGGGGGCAGGGGGGGTAAGCAGAGGGGTGGAATCGCAGCCACACGGCTCTTCCAAATTCAAAGCTCACTGGAACAAAGAATAAAAAATGAGTTAATTGTCTAGGTTTATCCTTCTTAAGTCTATGTTGTGAGCAGCACTGCATCCCTGAGGAGACAGAGAGGGAGAAATTGCCTGGTATGGTGAGCACAGGGAAGCTGTGGCTATGTCAGGGCTGTGGCACACAGACATGAGGTCTCTCCAGTGGCTGGAAAATGGTCTGGGTTTGTGAGAGTGTAGATAGGTTGGGGAATATTCACCTTCTGAAATTTATACCAAAAGCATACCAAAAATAAGTTAGAATTTGGAGACAGTTGTCTGTGATGAACACACAGCTTAGTTTCCCTTATTGTGCCCCCCTGAGGATAGGGCTGGAAGAGAATTCACCAGGGTGGGTATAATGCTGCTGCCACCCCAGACAGGACGTGCTCTAGGAAACCCAAGTATTATCATTATGAAAGCACTGCATGTTTGAGACTGCAGAGAGAAGATATTTAAGCTCCTTCACAAACACCACAGGCTACAGATGCTGGCTAATGACAAATCCTTGTTTACAAAGGCTTGTGTTGAAAGCCAAAATCTGCAGTGGAGAGCAATGTGGTTCCTGCTGCCAGAAGGTCCAGCTGCAAGTTCCTACCAAAACTGCTGCAAAGTCAAAACCCTCTGAATCAGCATGAGGTATTATGACAAGGACAAACAAAACAGGACTGGCTGCACGTGTGCCAAGCACTGTGTGGTACTTACTACAGATCAAGGCAACAGCCATGCGCAGCAGTTTGAATTGGCACTTCATTCCTGACCAGTTCTGGAAAAGAGACAAGGAAAACAAAGTAATGCTGCACACAAACATGAAGGGATATTACATTTAAATCTGTCACTTGTCAGGCAACTTCTCAGTGCATTCAAGACCTACTGAGCTTTTTCAATGCTACCTTCTGTGCCTCAGGCTCCCTGAAATTCTGCAGCTCAGATCTTTGGCAGAGCACAGAGAAACAATAAAGACTTCAATAAAAGCATATCAAGGAAACAGTGCCATAAGAAGGCCTGGACTTAGTCTCCTCTGTCTTCAGGCTTGGTTATTAATCAATATAGTGGAACAAAAATCTCTGAATGATAATCAGAAATAACGGAGAAATATTAAAAGTCCTCCTTTTCCACTCGCACGTAATTTTAAAGCAGGAAAAGAGATCATGTTTTGAGAAATTCAGATGTATGACAACATTATTATTATTTTACCATTACTATTATGTGACTAAATGAAAATTTGCTTATTGAAGGCAGACTGAGATGCCAAGATAATAATGTTTCTTGTGAAAAGCCCCCTATTTTTTCACACTGAAGAAATAAAAAGAATGCTTGTAAACTCCTCAGACTATCTCTAAGGACACCTGGGATGGCAAAAAATGCAACCTCCACAAAATAAGTAACTGATTTTCTCTCTCCACAGAGAGATCTAACCCAGTCAGAAAGCTCTGAGCTCATGCTGATTAATACTGTGCTGCCTCTTTCACTTTTAATTTCCATGTAGCTGATTTGAATCCCTCACTCTTTTCCTTGGGGTGACATGCTTTATTGCTTCCCCCTGTTGGTTATTTTATGTATTTCATTCCAGTAATATTTCTTTTTCCAAGCAGGAATGTTTCCATTTCCTTTGGTTACCAGGAGGGAACAGAAGATTCCAGAGACCCTCCCTGCCACAGTCCCTGCTGTCCCCAGCTGTGCCAGACTGAGCTTTGCAGCAAACAGCCAGCAATGCCTTTCAGTGTGCAGGAGCATTGCATCTAGATAACAAGTGAGCACAGGGAGACAAGGGGGGGAAAGGAAAGCAAAAACATCCCTCCACCAGAACTGGAAAGGCAGCAAAAATAACTTCAGATGAGAAGAGAGGCAGTGGATAATGGAGAAATAAAGATGCTAAGGTAGCAGTTGCTAAACAGATTTGGCAGAGGCCAATGAGAAGTGAAATGACAGATCACTTTGTGATGGTCTAAGAAGTCAGGGAAGGTAACTGCTGAAAACTCTTCACACACCTCTGGAAGAGCCTGTTCCTCTAAAGCAGACTAAAATTTCCTCCAATGTCCCCCTCTAACCCTGTGAATTGTGGTGTTAAAAACCCAGAGTCTGCGTTACCACCCTGAGAGACACAGGAAGCTCCCTCCTGCTTCCCTTGGCACAGTGCAGGGAACACAAATCACACTGGAAAGAACTGAATGTAGGGGTGCAATTCCCCAGCAGAAACCCTGTGCTAAATGGGCAGCCCCTCTCCTCCCCTCCTGACCTCTCTGCAGCCACTCAATGTCTCATTTGGACAGCAGCCTCAGCTCACTCATGCTCTGAAAAGCTTGAAGAGGGTGAAGCAGAGCAATTCTGCTCAGGGTATCTCTCACTTCCCAGCTGTTACAAAGCTGTCTGCAGCAGCCCCACTGAGGGTCACAGCTGAGCCTGCTGACTTTGCTGCAGACAAGCATCAAGCACAAGGTTTTCTTTTAGGCTTGGCTCCACCACCACTACACACACACATCTTCCAGCACCCATATAACAGATCTGCTGTCTCTACTGCAGCCACCTCACATTATCTTCCCACTCAGACCCAGGGGAGGAGCATTATCCTCGTTTTTATGGTTATTCTGCTCTGATATTGCTGGTACAGGACACACATGAATCTCCTATCAGCAAAGCTTTTTTTGCTCAGCGTCAGCTGAGGAGTCCCCAGGGCAGCTGTGCTGGGCTTTGCCACCACCTAGCTGAGGGCTGGGGATGAACTCCTGTTTCCAAACTTAGAAGAATGACAATGCTGGTGTTTGCTCACCTTTGTAAAGTATTTCATGAGGTGAAACAGCAAAGAGATGCATCATTAGATCACCCAGGGTTCATCTTCAGTCTGGGTTTTACAAATGGAGATAAGGAATATTCTGCACATGAATCCACTGAATGCTAAATTTCCTTAGATACTCACTAAAATTACATAGCACATCCAGACAGAAACAGGTCTGCCACTTCTGCACAGCCAGTCTGCTTTTCCAACATTTGTCAGCCATTGCATGGAGAGTTGATAGCCTGGAGAACACTGATAAATCTTGGATTACCAACATCTTTAGGTTGTCCTGGCAAACTGTCAGCTATCAGGGTACCAAGCCACCAAGTGCAGGGTAATATTTCCATTCCAGAACCATACCACTGAGACAAGACTCTTATCTGGGGCAAGCTCTGAATGACCAACAGCTGGGCCAGGCCTTACTTCCAGCCCCTTTGGGCCACCAGATGTGGCTCACTCTGAGGTCAGACAGTCACTCTGGTACTCACCATCACAATATTGGCCAGGTGAGCAGAGACAAGAGCATACACACCTCCAGAGGAGCCCACCACCGGCGCCCTCATGTCAGCCACAGACACTGCCAGGGACCCTGGGGGAAACAACAAGGCTTTGTGACAATTGCCCACCAAATAAACACACCCTCTCCTACCCTACCTCCCTGCTATGGCCTGTTTGTGCAAATTGCTGCAGGTCAGGAATACAGAAAGAGAAGGAGGGGGAAACTGATTGACTCATGAAGCCAACTCAGTCCTGTCAAGGCAGTGACTGATTGATTCCTCTGCACCTACTTTAAAAGCAGCCAAGCAAGGCAGCAATGTGTCTTTAAACTTGTCCTGCAAAAAGGCATTTATTCCCTGATTGAAGGAACAAGGGAGCAGGAGACAGACAAACGCCTGTGTTTGTTTCTCACCTGAAGATAAAAAAGAAGGAGCTCCCGTGTTGGCAAGAAAAATATTAGCACAGGCAGAAGGAGCTGGGGACTTGTAACTTAGCACAGACCTCTGATCAAAGCACAGCCTATTACCTGTAAAACTTCAGAGTAAAACTAGTCCAAAATAACCTGGATGGAGGCAGTAGGCACATGACAGCAAAATGACAGGTCAAGTACATAAAGGCACCACTAATGACAATACAGCCAAACACAGACATTGCTTCTTCTTATCCCAGTTGGAGGCTTGGATCTGCTCAAAGCTCCTTTCATTGCTGACTTTAAGAATAATTTAAGCGATAGAGGGAAAGGCAGATTTGCTGTCACAAGGAAGGGATAATGAAGATCTTTGTGACGATTGGGAATGGGAAAAAGACATATTGGCAAATCTTGAAAGAGCCCTTGGTAGCACAGAATCTAACGAACTTTTTTGCTAATTGCCCAACTGATTCCAGGTCAAGAAAGTGCTGAGCTTCCACCAGCCAACTCTGCTGATAGCTCCCTCCTTCCTTGTATGGCCCTGAGAGTTCTCAGCTCTTACACACTGCCATTAAGGAAAAAGTTAATGAGAAATAGAGGAAGGAGTAATAAGAACTTGCAGTTAAGTCCTCAGACACTGCACTGAGCGCCTCAATTTCCATTCTTAATGTGTCTTCTTAGTAAAGCCAGACAAATGAGAAAGAACCATAAAAGTTGTGGCCCAACTACATTATACATTTTACTACATTTTGTCTATTCCTGATTATTTAGCAGCTGAGTTACCTTTATATTGCCTCAGCATGAATATACCCATTTTCCTCTCTCTTGGCACTTGACAAAGAATAAAGGATGTTTCATAACTGGCTAAGATATCAGTGAAGCCCTAGGGTTTGGTAGGTGTATCTGTGTTGAAAAGCTTTATATGGGAAGTTGCAAATTGGGCACCACTTTTGTTAGTGTTTGTTAAAATAACAGCCAGGGGACAGTGGAGCTGCTCTGCTAACTCCTTTCTCTGCATTAAATACCATTGATGTTTGTACCATGCCTCATCCTGTGTCCTAGTCCAATTATTCTTTCCACAGACTGTCTCCTGGAATGCAGGATTTATTAGTACCCAGTGCAGCCCATTCTGCAAAGGGTTTATCTGCTTATTATGGAAAAAGTAATTATGTGGCTGGAAAAAACCAAACAAACACTATAAATCTTGAACAAAGGTAGTCAATCACTGAGTTCATTGTAAAGCTCTTGGTTGTTTGTTTTCACACCCTCCTTCTGTTTTAACTAGATTTTGATCTATTGTCAGCTTCCATCACCTCCAAACTGCTGGAAATTCCAAACATAAATAAAAGCAATTCAGCACAAACTAAAAATCAATCAGACCCCATGGCTTAATAATGAAATGAATTTTCCAGATTTCTGTGCACTGCTCACAATCTACAACCAAATACTTCTTGCTTACTTAGGCTGCAGAAAGGTGACAGACAGGACAAAAGGAGGAAGAACTGCCACAGGACCAGCATGACTCCACATTCAGGAAGATCATCTAAAGCAAGGCTATTTTAAAATAACAGGCAGTTGGTGCATTTTTAACAGGCCTCCTAAACATAGAGTCTATGGCTGCATAGAAATAGATGTCAAGTTGTACCATATTTTCTATGTCCAGCCCTGCAAAGGATTTCAATGCACAGATCAGTGAATGTTCCTCTCCTAATCCCAAATATCACAAAACATTTCTCCAACTCAAAAGCCAGCACAGACCATTTTCACTGCTTCTCCACCTGGGGCATGCAGAGGTGTCACCTACCTGCCACAACTCCTGCAACGTACACAAAACTGATCCTCGCAGCTCCGTGCACCATTTCCAGAGGAACCCCAACCAAGAGCTGAAGGACAACATTGAGCCCAAGGTGTTCTATCCTGCAGCAAGGAAAAACAACAGTTGTCCTCTTCTCCAACTCTTCATCTCCTTTCTCTACCACTGAGAAAATCAAATAGCACCCGATTCACATAAGTAGACTAACACTGGGCAAAACAGTGATTCCAGAAAAATCAGACCCAGAGCTGCAATATTTCTTCCCTCCTTGCTGCTTTTATCTTTTCCATATCCACGCAGGTCCTTTCAGCTAAAGACCTCACACAATGTTTGGTTCTTAGTCAGACATTTTTTTCCTTTTTCTTTGCTTGAAAAAGTTCAATGACTTGTCAAAAAAAAAAAGCAGCAAGATGGCAGCAGAGCCTGGAACAGAAGCCAGAAAACCTGCCCTTCTCTTCTCCTCTCCTAATGATTCCACTTTTCCCTGCACACATCACACTGCCATGATGGGGAGTGGTTGTTAAGAACGAGGTGGATGTAGAAGTTCCAGGAGAATTGCCAATTTCTGGTGCTGTAATGCTCCTTTACAGCATGGGTGTCTGACCCTCACCCTTTTCTGTCTGCTGTGCCTACCTCAGTGGTCAGAATGGGAAGCAGAGGGCATTTTGATGTCTGCTGAGGTGCCCAGGTGTACTCACTGATGCTCTCTCTTCACCCACCCTTGTTCCCATTACAGCCAATAGCAAAACTCCAAATCTGTTGAACACACAGCAGAAAGCTGGGCTGAGGGAACCCCAGCAAGGCCCACTACCAACAGGGCAGGACCACTGGCAGCCTGCAGGCAGAGTGTGACAGCTCAGATGTGTGTGTTGGGTAGAGACTCCAGGGCAGCAGATCTCCCCTGAGCTGAATCAACAGCTTCAACTCAAGTTCTCTGTTGCTTTAATCAATACTACTTAACAAACCTGACCTGCCACTTTTCAAAGCTCTATACAGACATTCATCTGTAGGGTCTCCAGTGAGCTGACACCAGCACCAGGCCCTGAGCAGGATCCTCAGCTCTCTGCTAGTGTCTGAGATTTACCCTGGGCTCACAGGACTGTGATCTCACTGAATGGTGACATCCCACTGGAGCCAAGGGTATCCTGCTCCTTGTATGAAGAGAGCCTGCTTACAAAACAGATGGATCTAAAAAACACAGTGGCAGCCTCGATGCAGAAGGCCAGCATCTTTTGGGGAAAAGAGAGCAAAGTACCTAATGCCTTGAAAATACACATCCTATTTTATACAAGAGAAGGGTTGCTCACAGGCAGGCACTAACAAACTTTGGATTAAGTTACATGCATTTCCACTGTTTTGATCTTTTTCATGTTACCGTAGCAATTTCCCATATCCAGCAGAGAAAAACACTGATGGTGAGATTCAGTAATGACAGAACAGTCTCATAAATGAGAATGTAAAGTTGGACTGCAAAAAAATTGCTAGAAATGATACTGCAGAGAACAATCCTCTCCTGATATCTTAAGTTTGTTTCCGTTGAATTTCTCTCCAAAGATGAATTTCCCTCCTGCACAATGCACTCAGCACTGCAATTTTTCATCATGGGAACCTGATGCATGTAACTGAGTTCCTTCATTACCTTTTCAAATCTTTTGAAGTCACTGGACATGGTCAGCACTTGCTCTGATCCTGCATGCTCACAGAACGCCGGGAATTAAATTAGGAACAACCAGCAAAGGTCAAACTGAGATCACTGGGATGAGTCCAAACATCCAAGTGCCCTTTCACAGAGGGGAGGGAAGAAGCTTTGGCTGGCACACAGTCAGCATCATGAGGTGGCACCTGACAGTTCCACACAAAGCACTGGGTCTTATTTTTCAAAGGAAGCTTTTGTAAGAGCTCAGCACAGTTTATCCTGGACTCTGAAGTGACTGCTCTGATTCACAGCTGTTCTTAAAAGACTTCTCAGGAGCAATCCCATTCACTTCTCTTCCCCATCATGCTAAGAGCTTTGAAGGCACCAGAGTCAATAAGTGCTCATAAAATATAATTACCCTTTGCCAGTGCTGAATGTGTCATTCTTGAAATGACAATTTCATTGATTTATTAAGGACTTTCTCCTTCCCTGGGACCAAACAAATGGGACTGAGCATCAATGCAAGTCATTAGTTATGGCAGTGATACAAATGTGTGGGCTTCAGATTATCAACGTCTGCTTTCCATGAAAACAGAAGGGCAGAATTTACAACTTTGCCTTTTCAGCCCTTGACAAAGCTCCCTCCATCAGAACCAACACAGAGCCTGCACATTTTTGGAATCTTTCTAGAGGCACAGCCAGCCAAGCCTTAGCAACTGCTGCCTTCTCAAACACCTTCCAGCTGCCACTTGCTCTTCAAAAAAAAGACAGAGTGCACTAAATTAGGAGCAGTCCACATTACCATTTAAAAGTCTCAGCTGGAAGCAGGGTAACAATAGACCCATGGCATTGTGTTATCCTCTCATTTGAAAATGAGAGGAGAATGATGGGTGTCCACTAAAAGACAATATTACCTTTCCAAGATTTATCTGTTTTCCTCACAAGAAAGGAGCTTAATACAGAGAACTTAGAAATAAAGGAACATTTAGCTTAACTCCAGATACTGCAGATAAATCACAAGGTTTATTGTTCCAGTGGGACTCTCCATTGTTTTAAAGGCTGTGTAGCTAAAGGACTTGGAATCCATCATGACAAATCCCCTGCTCACCACCTTCCATTGCTCCACTCTGAGTCAGCCAGAGGTGAAATAAACCTGAGGGATTTTTGGCCAGTGAGTGTGAAGAACGCCAGGGAACTGCCTGCTACAAGGGTGACCTGGCACAGGTTAGGAAACCATGCCACAGAAAGGCATTCAGTGCTGGGAAATTGTCCTTGTGCAGGTGTTTCTCCTCCAATGTATCCTAGAGCAATCTGTAGTTATAGAAGGGATATGGTAAAACACCACCACCATCAAAAGAAAGCCCAAATACAAATTAACTAACATTAGTTAAAAAAAAGGTTTTCTTTCTTTTACAAACCCAGTTTTCCCCATATTTTCAGTGATGGAAATTTTCATTTCTCATTTCATGTAACCAGCCTCATGTCTAAGCCCAGCAGTCCCCCCTTGCAGGATGGAATCTGTGTTATCTGTGTAATCCTTCTTTGGAGGGATTCAGCATGCAGAGGACAGAGGTTGCCACATCCAAAAGTTTCTTCTAAAAGCTTTTCCCCACTCTTCCCTTGGGTGGAGTCTGTTTTTATCAAGGGATCTGGGGCACATTTTGTGCTCCAGGGCAATTACACACCAAGGAAGTTATTCCATGGCAGGGAAGAGACATCAGCATGTCTTCCATCAGAGATGTGGAAAAAAGGCAAAGATCAGCTTGATCTTTCTGGCCTTTCATAGAAGAACATTGAGTGATGGAAATATAGGCTTCCTATTTAAGAACAAAGGGTCCTTATGCAGTTTCAAACTCTACACTACTGCTGAAAGGCTTTCTGCTGTCATTTTTCAATGACAGAATTAAAGAAAATTGCAATTATCTGCCAGGAATGTGTGAAGATAATGATCTGAGAAACTCTTCAGAGGGGGTAGAATGTTTTGTACAGGGATGAACTTTCCAGTGACACTTACTCATCACCATGGCATCACAAACATCACACAATTAAGTCTATTCAAATTTTGTGAGGACTAGGACAGCTGAGAAGAACAGAGTTAGAATCCCCTCACCTTGTATATTCTTCCCAAGTCTGCTACATACCTGCCATGGGATGAAGGAGGATTCATTTTATTGTGCACCTTCATTTTGCATGGACACCATTCCGTGTCCATCTGGTCACTCGAGACTGTCAGCTCTTCAGGAACACTGAGTTTGCTCAGTGTGTACAAAATGGGAGTTCAGGCTTGACACAGCCTTCTAGGCACTAGCTCAGTCCCTACAGAAGGGACCAACATTACTGAGTGATGACAGGTCCCAGGCACAGGAATTTAACTGACTTTTCCAACACCCTGTATTTTTAAATACCAGTCCAGCATCTTTGCAGACTTGTCCTACCACCGGCACAGCTCCTTTAGTGGAACACTGGGCTTTGACCTGGTTTTAGGAAGTGCACAGTAAGAAGAAAGTGTGGTCCCAACACTGCTAGGGAGGAGAGCAGCATCTGTTAAGTTCCTTTTATTGCCTTTTCCCTTCAGAGAGCTGTGAAGGTTTGCACCTCATTGCCCACCAGCCCACATCATCTTCAGATTTTTACACACAATTTATAACTGAGTTTTTAAAATTTAATTCTGAGCTGATTCTGTCACTTCCTCTATCTCTCTGGGGAACCTGAACTGTTTGTAAGTACTCACCCTGCATGCATGAATATGTAGGTTAGGTACCTCCAAGCCTGGGCCCGAAGCTGGGGATGGTACAGCAATGCATTCTTCAGGTACAAGGGGTGGCTGACTTGCAGCACAAATCTGTCTAAGACCACTCCATTGTAAAGAAAAAAGGCAACCTAGAAGAGCAGAGAGATTCATTGGTTACCAAATGCCTTTTCTCATCAACAAGCCCCTTTTAGCTAAAATTATGGAGAAAAAGTAATATATAAAAAACTTTTCTCCCATTTGACAGCTTCACACAGCATGAAATTCCCTGTTTTGAGGAACCTGCAACACATTGATATAACTGTATTTGTAACACACCAGCCCCTGAGTCAGAGGAACCTGCTCCCAGTCAGCACCCTACTATCAGTGTCATATCCTACTCTGTACTTACTCGAGCACATTACTCAGCAAATGTGCAAAGATCTCATTTGGGCAACACATGAGCAGGTCAGAATATTTAACCAAGAGGTTCTCTCCCCTCCTTTTTCTCTCTACTCACAGAACAGAGGTAGCTGTACAGAAATTTTGAATTCCATTGACTTATCCATTTCTCTAGAACTGTCCTGTTTTCACTCCTCAAACAGTTGTGCTCTCATTTCCCAAACTGTGTAGTCCCATATACAGATTGTTCCAGTGACAGGATCACAGTCCCCATTTAAACACACACACTCCAACAGGCAACCAAAATGGCCACTGGCTTCACATCTGTCCTTGTCCAGGTGTGAACGAGTCCCTCTCTGTGGTGGTGTTTACAGGGATCTTAGGATGAGGGAAGAGATGAAAATGTTGACTCCATGTTTCAGAAGGTTTGATTTATTATTTTATAATATATATTAAAACTATACTAAAAGAATAGAAGAAAGGATTTCATCAGAAGGCTAGTTAAGAATAGAAAATGAATGATAACAAAGGCTTGTGACTGACTGAGACAGTCGGGACAGCTGGACTGTGATTGGTCATTAATTAGAAACAACCACATGAGACCAATCACAGATTTGCTTGTTGCATTCTACAGCAGCAGATAATCATTGTTTACATTTTGTTCCTGAGGCCTCTCAGCTTCTCAGGAGAAAAAATCGTAAGGAAAGGATTTTTCAGAAAGTACCATGGCTGCACCTCTCCAACCCTGACTGAGTCCCAGCAGGGCCTTGGGCAGTGTGGGGAGGCTCCCAGGGAGGTACTTGCCTCCACGATGGTGATGGTGATCATGAACCAGGGCGGGGGGCAGCAGGTGTAGCTGTCGTAGTACCACTTGCGGTCGATCTCCCGCGGGAGCGTCTCGTAGGCCACGTGCCGGATCAGCCTCTGCGAGAGGCTCAGCCCCGTCTCCTCCAGCAGGGCCTTGCTGCACAGCCTCCTGTTGCCCTGCAGGATGGCCTGGCGGAAACTGTTGGACCTCTTGTTGCTCATCTGGGTAAAAGGGGACAGAAGAAACCATGAGTACAGGCCTGGCACAGTCACCAGGGAGAACAGTGCCAGTTTGGCAGCACCAGATCCAGGCAGGCAGGAAAGCCACCACCAGGCTGAGCTTTAGGAACCAAGACTTGGGACAATGACAGGGTGACCTACTTGGGGTGCAAGGAAAACGAGTACCACAGTTTACCATTATAATGTCAATAAATGAGGTCAGGGCAGAAATCTGGCAAGGCAGAGCAGAGGCTGCTGATGCACCTGGCTGAGCTCTATGGCCCATTCTCCAGCCTTCCATGGACTGTCTTCACCATCAGTTATCACAATCCACATTTCCTGTGTCCTCCTTCCCTCTGCTCCCCCTGCTCTATCAAACTTCCCTGCAGTCTCGGGGCAGGAAATTTCTCAAATGTAGCAGCAGGCACTTTCAGAGCACATCTAACCCTTGGGGCAGGAGTTAGCTCTGGGCAAAGAAAATTATCTCTTTGTGTAAAACAAAACTGCCTGGGCAACAGCAACAAACAACAAATTAATCGCCTGTACAAGGTGTCTTAGCTCCTGTAAGCTTGCAAGCCTTTACAAGGCTTCTTTTATAAGTTATCCTCAGTGGGGGCAGGCTCTGAGAAGGCACAGGCTTACAGCTAATTTGTATATGCATTATCACCTCACATGCATAGATTTAGCTATCTTTCTGAGCATACACTTTACCAGTTTGGATGCATAATTAAAGCAATTGCATTTGCAAATTAGGCAGATGGAATCTTATGCTTAGCCTTCTGGGGGTGGAGGAACAAACCAGGTCTGAAAGAGCTTGCTCCAAGATGTGTATAATTGTTAATTAGCCCTGATGTCAAACAAAGCTGCTGCATTAGAGCCACTGTCTGTACTGGCTGAATGTTTGGCAGGGAGCTCCAAAGGCTCACTGTGTACATAGGCTGCTGCAGGGGGATCTTCCACTGAGCAAACATGACAGCCTGGTCCTTCTGAGAGAGCTGCTGACTGCTCTCAAAGCATATCCAGCCTCCCAGAACCAAGCAAGACAAGACACTCAGCAGCAGTTGTCTTGGATCATGCTGGTTTCAGCTGATATCCCAAAGCCAGCAAAGCCCAGAGCTTGTGCTCTCAGTGCCCAGGCAGTCAGGGAATTGCTCCAAGCTGGACCAAGCTGCTTAAACACAGTAATCACTGCAGGGAGCCACCTCCCGTTAATCACTGGGGGAAGGCAAGGGGCCATCTGAGGTGATGGCACTGCGACCTGCTCTGCCCATCCCTCCTTAGCCTTCATTTCTAGCCTGTCCCTCCAACACAGAAGAGCACTGAACGCCAATTGATATTCTTATACTTCTTTTAAACTGAGGAAAAATGTGTTGCTGTTGTTCTCTTTGAGTTGTTTCAGTGAGAAGATGTTTTACCCTAACAACTCTCTCCATTGCGGAATTTCTCCTTTGCTCTCTCTTTCCTTCATTGATTTAGAAAACACTTGTAAAAGAACTTTTCTTGTAAAAAAAGCAGAAAAACAAAGAAGAAAAAAAATGTCCACAGAGTCTCTCTCTCAGTCTTCTCATGTCTATCATCCAAAAGCCTGCATCTAAAACTGGGGAAGATGAGGGGGGAAAAATTGTTGAAATTGTTGTGGTCCTCTGTTGCATTAAGAAAGCCTGTTCATACTGAAAAATAATATTTTCATAGAGAAATATCCAACAGGTACAAGGCTTCTCTTAGCATGTGTGAGATGCCTTTTGCTAGGCAAGAGATGTACCTCTGTTTCAAAGATACTTTTAGCCACCTAATGACCTCTCTGTGTCCACAGAAGAAAGCTTAATCCCAGGTTAGTTCAGAACAGCCTTTTAGAGATGTTCTGCATGTGCTCCCTCACAAAGTTCATTTTTTCTCTCTGGCTTTGCCCCTCTTATGGACAAGAATAAATTCAGACAAACTATAAAATTGCCTGAAGATGCCAGACAGTTGAACTGGAGCTGCTGATCTGCTTATTCCAATTACAGTGATAAATGGGATTTCCTGCCTACCACAAAACAGTCAGTGCTTTTCCCTGTTGCAGCACTTCAGTGGAAAAGATAATAATTTCCAGAGTCAAGGAAAATCATCATTTCAGCATCAAGAAGGGCTGGCCACCCTCAGTAGATGATCACCTCATCAGTGCAGAGATTGCCAAGGGAGATGGGCAGGAAACTCCAAAGGCTGCTATGTCCATGGTTAGGACCACATCCAAGATTTCTTTGCATCTGTTGAGCAGAGGATCCTAAGGGAGGCACCCTGAACTCCTCTGTTACTGTTACAAGGGATGGCTCAGTTCAGTCACCTGAACTCAGCACAGCCCCATCAGTCCAGTGTCCCCTCTGCAATAATGCTTGTGCTGCCCATGGAGCCCAGAAAACAGCCAGGGCACTGCAAATTCATCACCATGACATTTCTGAAGATTCTCCTCAATATAATAAAAACAAAACAGGGAAAGGTCTTCTTAGATTTAAGAGGAAAATATTGCAGGATCATTGTAGATGACCAAAGCCTCCACTGGCTCTTTTGAGGAGGTAGGAAACTTGTCTACTGTTCAGCAGAAAGCTCTGCCTTCCTTCTTCCAGAGAGGAAGATAAATCACAGGACCTTGCACACCCTACACAGAAGCTAACATGGAAGGGACATGAAAATATTTGCCAGACCATCTTTAGAGCAAAGGATATGGAGAGAAGGTCCAGGTTCCCTCTACATGCTGCAGTCTTGGCATGGTTTTACCCCCCAGTGAAGCAGGGACACAGTGTCAGGAGTGTGTCAGACATGCTGAAAAGCCCTCACAATCCCTCAAGATATGGATGAGTAGATGTACTGAGCCCTTGTTGAAATCAGACCTCTCAGGAAGGAGGCATCCTGCTGGTCCCCACCTGCACACATTGCCATGGCACCGAGGAGGAGATGATCTCCAAAGAGGCAGCACAGCTGACTGCCAGGGCTCAAGCAAACACAGCAATCCTGGCCCTACTCACATGGCCTTGGATTGGGCTACGAGGAGATGGGCATGAGGAGAGACAGAGGATTAAGTCAGTATTGCTGCTCTCACCAATTCTTGATGAGAAGTCTATTTTGTTCCTCAGACTGACTTTGGAAGAATCAAATCTTCCCAAACAGAATCTCGCATATGGTCACAATTTGCTGACTGGATTTTGCAATTACATAATATTGGTATTTATGAGCCAAGTATTTAATCATCAGCTGAAAGAACACTAGGCCCATTGTTGGCCTGCACATTATCATGGCTCCAGGAGCCCAGGGCAGCCCACCCCACTTCTCTTCATGCAATTGATCTAGGACTTCTTTAATGAGTGTGATATTAAAGCTGCAAGCAGATGGGTACAGCAAACAGTATGTGGAGAGAGAAGATAGCAGTGGGGAACAACACATTCCCTTAGTCCTTCCTGCCTGCAAAATGGTGTTCTGCAGAAAGAAATTTCCCTTGCAGAAGAGCCAGGCTGAGCTGACTGGTACCCAGGTGGTGCCATCTCTGCCCTTTGGCATCACCCTACCAAAACAAACCATGGCTCAGGGCTGGAGATCAGCTCAAGGGCTGGGTCTGATACCTCTGTGCAAATGGAACATTTTTTCCTACTTAGATCTGAACCTGTCTTCAACACTGAAAACATCAACATTTAGGATGTCAAGAGTAGAACAGTGACAAACTTTGATGAAGTACAAAGCCCTGCTTTTGTTTAGCACACATGGCATTCAAAAATTACTCAGGGATAATCTGCAACTTGCAAAGCAAGTTGTTCATCCCCACTGGCAGACCAATTTCTCTGTCTTCCTTGGATATCTGTAGTACTGTGGCTACCTCTGATAATCAATAGCCAAGGCATGTAGTATTTCCCCCATCTCCAGTTTCAGGACTTGTGTGGGGCACAGCACACTTTTTATGGTTTTATTCAGCCTCACTCAGAAGGTTTGGAAAACACGGATTTCTGCTGATTACGTATTGGCATCTTTGAGACTGGTCTTGAGCTATTTTTAAACACATGCAGCTCTGTGACAGGCAATGCATTCAGCTCTCCAGCTCTGATCCTCCAAGACACAGAACATTAAATCAGAAGTTAGCACAAGCTTTTTAAAAGCCTCTGCCAGCTCCAGTTTTATAACCCACTTTACTTACAAATGCAACCTCTCCAATCAATTTTGCTTTCAAGATTCACATTTATTTCCTTCCCTCTGCCCACACTTCTACAAAATGCTAATGTGGGTAGAGACAGCTTTCCCCAAAATGCATGTCTCAGCATTAAGTTCATCTGTCACAGATGTTCACATCCTCTGAGCCAACCTGGTGGCACTTTCCCAAACAGTATCAAAGGGAAAAAAACCTGAATACCAAATACCAACATTCTGATCTGGTTTGACCAAGCAGTGGTTTACTCAAGGGATTCAAAGAAAGAGGCAGGAGAGACAAAATAAATTATCCCTGCTCAAGGTTTTGCCTGATTAAATGTGCCAGGCTTAGGCCTTCCAGCTCTTCCAGTAGAAAAGGTAAAACACTTTCAAATTGCAAGGTTACTTGAAAGAACATTGCTTGCAGGACCAGACTATACATTGTGGTTCAAATAACATTGCTACACAGTGCTTCAAAAATGTGCCTCGTTCACACTAAAAATGAGGTGGAATTAGCCTGTCCCTAGAAGCCAGCAAGGCCAGGGAAATCAAAGCAGGCAGTGATTCTTGGTCTGGAAAATAAAGGATGTGCATTTAATTAGTTATCATATTTTGCTCATTATTGAGATATTACATCAACTTCAAGTTACTACAAAGCCACAGCTAAACCTTTCTGCTGGAAGCAGCAGTGTTTCGTTTTTCCCAAGTCACATGAACTCTGTCTTAGAGCTCACTACTTACTGCAAGCTTTATTACAGCTCATGGGATATTATGTGAAGTAACAGCAATTGCTGTTCAGCAAGAATCCTAGCAAATAATATCTCAAGGATAATTAACTCCTGGCTTGTCTCTTCTCTGAAAGTAGCAAAGTTAGTTAAACACCTTGGTTCTCTATCTCCTCCTGTGGCCCATGCTGCTCACAGCCAGAATTTTCTCTGTGCATCTCTTTTCACAATGCTGCAAAGCAACCAGAGAGCACAGATGCACAAGATGTCTCCACTTGTACAGGAAACACTTTTGTTACTCTGCACTGTCTCAGACACAGCATAAGAAATCCCATCTGAAACTCCTTTCTGCCATTACTACAAACCACAGTGCAGAAACAGAAATGGGTATGATTGCAGCATTGTGTTTTACAACTACATGAGCTGAATTTCACACACACAGAGGAGAAGTAATTTCCAATGAGCTGCCTATCTGATCTTTTTGAGCCTTTTCTGTTTGCAGATCACACCAGGAGTTTTTATCTTCCTTGAATTTATTCATTTCTCAATTTATTTCCCGAGTGCTTTCTGGGGTCTAGTCTCGTATTTTAAAACTTTCAATTTCATAAATTTAAGTTGCTTTGCTGAGAGCAGGCATACGTGTGGATGTTGCTATTAAGGTGAGAAGTCCTATAATTACACTTTTGATGTATCTAGGAGTTCACAAAACATTTTGGACATCAGAGGATAGCATAGCTTTGCTCAATAGCAGTCCTCTAGCTGGGGATCACAGTGCCTGAGAGAGCAGGCAGAGATCTTGGAGCTCAGAATGATGCTGGAGAAAAGGAAAATCATACCTACAGAGAGCCTGGCTTGTAAAGCCTCTGGTTTAGTAAAAGGTCAGCCTTTCCATCCCCACACCCAGCAACATCATGTTTGGCAGCAGATCAGTTCTTGCTAAGCTACTGAAACAGACAAATTAACCTGAGCATAAAGCAGGGAGGGCTAATGATCATCAAGCACAAACATGCACCTAAACACCACCACACCACGGGCTGACAGCTAAGAGGTGAAGGAAATCCCCAATTTCACAGTGATGCTGCATCAAATGTGCTGCTTCTTTCCATCAGGAAGTTCAAAAGAAAGTTCAGAAGGAGCCCTAAAATAAAAAAAGTTTGGATGCTGGAAATCAATAGAAACTAGAGGAGAAGTGAGAAAAGAGATGTCATTTGTAAGTAGTTTAATGTTTTGGCATTTGCATTGCCTATTGATTAGAAAGTGCAAAAAATGCAGACAAGGATAGAGGGGCTGGTGACAGGAAAATCAATGGCTTTTTTATAGGAGTCATTCAATAGTAGTGAAGGAAATTTGCTGTTTTGCAAAAACCACATCACCTGGGTGTGAGCTGGCACAGCCTCCTATTCCCAAAGGGGGAGAATGTCCAAGCATTTCAGTTCCCACCTACCTCTCATTAGTGTGTGCTGCTCCTGAGCCCTGTGGAGCAAGGAGAGAGAAAAAAGCCCAGCTCTATTCCTGAGCCTGTTGCCAATGTGTTGGCTGGCCCTAGGCCATCATTTCTGTAAAAGAAATTCGATGATGCCTCTTCCTGCTACCTAAGGGTTGTGCAGCCCAATTAGTGAATGCTTGCACACTACTTTGAATATCCCCAACTGTGGAACAAGCAGCTGTTACTATAAATACTCTGCTGAGCACTGAGGACCACACTGTTTGTTATGCTGGAGTGAGGAAAACCTCACACTGTGTAATCTGTTTAAGAGTTGCTGCATTTATTCTACTGTGTACCTAGACACAGGCAAGGGGCTTACAAGACTGCCTGGTCAGATACAGGAGGTTTATGTCATTCCAACAAAGTCACTTCACCTTGACACTGCCCACAGCCTGATGGAGGTCATGACCTGGGTCCTTGACAGCTGGGCCATGTTACCATAACTCTCTGATAATTGTGAAAACAGGACAGATGCAGGACTCTTTCTAAACCAAGAACATGTGCTTGAGTGACCATGATCAAATCCCACATTGTCTGCAGAACACACAGAGATACAAATTACTGTACTCAGCAACAAGGACACATCCAGCTTTCCACAGAAACCTCAGAGATGTCACCAACTCCCATTCCCCTTTGACTTTGTCACCCAGGCTTATATTAATATTGCATTAAATCTGGGATTCAGGTGTTCAATGACAAAGTAAGAACAAGGCAAAGCCTCTGAATGGCCAGTGTCCAAGATACATAGCAAACAACATTTCTAAGCCATCCTGGGCACCTGACAACACATGTCTGCAATTGTGTTGACTCAACAAATTGCCTTGACAAGAAACAGAGCAATCCCTTCACTAATTGACTCATTAGTAGAGATAGAGAGGCATCCAGATCATGACTCATGCACTCTGAGACACCTCACCTGGCATAAAATGAATGTGACCTAGAAACAATTTATCCCTGTTGCTGTTGATGCCTACAGCAGTGCAATATGACTCCACCCAGCATGTCAACACAAAGTTATCTATACATTTTTGTCTGGAAGTGGTGAAATCTCTAGATAAAACAGGAGACATCCAGACTGACAGACCTCTGCTTGCAAACAAATGGCTCATTATAGCAGCTAGCAAATGATACTGAGAGCAAAAACTTCCAAAGTAGCAGCAGCCATTGCTTCATGATATTACTACAGTTCCCACAGTTCCTTCCCATGCAAATTTGTTTCCCTGGAAAAATCAGAAGCAATTTGACTCTTGCTGAAGCAAGTCCACGCAGAATATGATGCAGCAAAGACTGGTGTTAATAAAGGGAGGGAAAGAGACACTGTGGCTCAACAGCCCATGTTTTAAGTAGAACCAAGGACTGACAAGCCAGAGCACTCACCAGGTTGACGAAGTCCTGGTAGCAGATCCTCCCCTCAGAGTTGCTGTCTGCCAGGGCCAGCAGCACCTCCAGCTTGTGGGGGTCCAGCTCCGAGCCGTGCCTCTGGAGGAGGGAGCGGAACTTCTCCGTGCTGATGTAGCCAGTGTTGTCAGGATCAAACTGGGACAGGAGGGGAGACAGCCACAATTAACAACCCCATTTACACACAACTCTGTCCTCCTGTGCATTCATCACCCACTGCAAACCCACAGGGACCCAGGGGCTGCTCTAGGCTTTGGTGACACTGCCCTGCTGCAGAGAGGGGTGAGTCCAGGCATCATCATCCACCCAAGCTTCAACTACATCAGCTCCCTTCACCTTCCTGCCCTCTGCATCATCATTTCTCTTGTCTATTTTTTATATCTCTTTCTAGCTGGAACATCAAGCAAACCAGAGATACAGTTTGTGAGATAAAATGCACTGGAAACAGTTTTACTCCACTATTTCCTAACACAATTCCTAGCACAATGCCACCCCTCCTCAGGGCCCTTCCATGCTCAGTGTTTCTGACAGTCACCTTTCCAGATCATCTCTACAGATGCCTTCACTATGGTAAGTGCTTTCACTGCTGAAGAGCTATTTTAAGACAGTTGGGAAAGAAAATCTTTGGACAGGAAGCAAAGCAGATGAACACCATGTCAAACTAAAAGTGACAAAGAAGCCACATGCCATTTTGAGAATGCAAACCAGAGTCATTAGAAGGAAAGTCCCAGGTGAGACCTGGAGTGAATCCCACTCTGACCCAAAACATCACTGTTTTCCCTGAGCCTAAGTGGCTAATCTAGACATGCCACTGATGAAAAGAGACACCTTTGCAAGGCTGTCCGAACTAATGACTGCTCCAGTGGCCTCTAGGGCACTCTGTGAGGGGCTGCCAGCTCACAGGGCACAGCCTCAGCGCTGACAAAGGCAGTGCTGGCACCACTCCAAACACCTTTCTGATGCTCTTGGAACAGAGTGGCTGCAAGCTGCCAGAGCAGTCTGCACGAGCCCTGGTGCACTCTGATCTCTACCAGTTCTCTGTTGCTGGGAGATTTTGCCTTTGATTTCCCAAACTTGGCCGTGAGGACCCTGGTGCTCGCTGGCCTCCTTTTGTAGATAATGATATCAAGCTTGTTGGCTGGATTGAATGGCTGTCAGGGGGCAGGGTGGTCAGGAGGGAGTCTTTTCATGGAAACATTTGGGACATAATAGGCCTTGGCAGAGCCAGAAAGGTCCTATCAATCCTCACTCTTTCCTAATGGAGAACAAAAGTTGAGCAGGCACTGGGCCTTCGATCAGACACAGTGGAGGGAAGTGCCTTGGCAAGAGAGGGGTAGGAAGGAGGATGTGGCAGAGGATGCAGCCTGCCAGCAGCAGGGCTGGCACAGCTCTGCAGTGAGCAGAACAGCTATAAAACAGAGCAGCCTCAGGCATGGCTGCTTGTTCAGAGGCTGTAGTGCCCATGTGTGAGGATCTGGCTCCATCTCCTTCTGGCCTGAACACCTTTGTCCCTCTGCTCTGCTCTCCCCAGCTGCTTGGCTGAGGAGGAGCTGTCTAACCTGAGGAGGGCAGGTCACAGCTCCTTGCTGGAGTGGGACTATCTCCCTTTGGCCAAAGCAGCAGCCCCTCTGTGAAGAAGCTGCTGGGGATTACACAAAACAAAATAAACCAAGTGACCTGTGGACAGTCAGAACTGGGCACTCTCCTGTTCTCTGTCAAAGATTGTCCTGCCCTTGTGAGGTGGCCTGGATGTGCCTCCCTGACAGATGGCACCCAGAGCCAAAGGTGGATTTCATCAGCTGTTTACTGTTAAACAAAGGCTTAATATTAATCCCTGGAGAAGTTTAGCTCCTCTACTCTGTCCCACTCTGATGCTTTGAGTTAACAGATCAAGCTCTAAAACCAGCCCCAAAAGTCAGGGCTTCTGCACTCAGGCTCAGCTCTGGTGAGTTTGGGCTCTTGCTGTAACTCTCAGGCCAGCCTGTTTGTGGTGCACAATCCCAGCCACACATACCCAGGAAATAAAGTATTATTAGCACAATACCTGGGATGACCTTTCTCAAGGGGAGTTTGTAGGAGCTGTGAGATGAGTCATTCAGTGAATGGATCTAAGACCTGCAGCCCCATGGATACTGCTCTGTTCATCCCCGTTTCTCAAAAACATTTGACCTAACCAACATCTTACTTAACTGCACCACTTTAACTGTGTCTTGATATTTAAAATATCAGAACCTAGCTTGTCTAGGATAAAACCATTTGCTCCTTGAAGGCTTAAGTACCTCTCTACTTTGAGGGCCAGGGTCAGCACCCAACGTGTGGGACTCTCCCCATGCTGTGTGGTCACTGACTTGGCAGGAAGACCAAGGGCTGCAGCCCCAGGGAACATGGCTATTCCTTCAAAGGGCAGATGCGATACAGAGCTGCAGCACACAGGCCTCCAGAGAACAAAAGAGCTGCTGAGATCACAAAACACTTTTCCCAGATTTTGTTCTGCTTTCAAGCCTTCCAAAAAGAAGCATTTTGTAACCAAGAACAGAAATTACACAACAGCTTCAGAGCTTCAACCCAGCCCACAAGGACACACTAATGACTTCAGGCTCACTAGTGCTGGAGCTGATACATCCTCTCACTCAGGATGTTGTTGTGACTGCTGCCTTCCAAAGGCACAGCTGAAGCTGTAGCTGTCTGGTGGCTACAAGTGAATCTGCTTCTTTCTCACACCAATAGGCACCAGCACTCCTCCTTCAGCTCACTGAAGTCTTGCTGTTTGCTCCACAAAAGTCAAAGCAGTGGCAGAAGGTGGCTGGTGTTTTCTGTAGTGTAATTTGGCTATTCTCTTCTCCTCTTTCATGTTATTATATATAATTATTTTTGGCACCATGTTAATGATAATAATTAGAAATAAGTGTGAAGTAAAATAGTGGATCTAAACAATGTGAGAGTAAGAGATGAACAATGAACAACTGGCATCTGAACTCAAATACCTCAGAGCAGGGCCAGAGCACAGGCTCTGCAACCTGGAGCAGAATGTTTTACTGTCAACCTCACCTGTAAAGAAGTCCTCTTATTTATGTTTAAACAAATTTTTAATTGTGCAACATTTCTCTATAAAAAGAATGTAAAAATTTCATCTGTCACCACTCAAAATCCACACCAATACTTCAGACTGCTTCAAACCCTGTTTCTGATATCACAGCTATCCACAAAAATCAAGGGGTTGAGCAGGTCCTGCATATCCTATGTCCCTACACAAGGCAAATCACAGAATCACAGAATGTGCTGAGTTAGAATGGACCCATTAGGATCATTGAGTCCTCCATGCTCCGTCCAGCTCCTGCTCCCATGCAGGACAGCCAAGAATCCCATCATGTGCCCGGGAGTGTTGTCCAAACATTTCCTGAACTCAGACAGGCTTGGTGCTGTGACCACAGCCCTGGGGAGCCTGTTCCAGTGCACAACCACCCTTAGATATTCAACCTAGACCCCTCCCTCACTCAGCTCTAGCTGTTTCCTTGACTCCTGTCGCTGGTCATAAGAGCAAAGAGATCAGAACCTGCCCCTCATGCGGATGTTGAAGACCACAGTGAGGTCTCTCCCCAGGCTCCTCCAGGCCAAACCAACCAAGACACCTCAGCCGCCCCTCACACGGCTTCCCCTCAAGTCCCTGCATCATCCTCATGGCCCCCTTTGGACACTTTTTAACAGTTTCATGTCTTTTTCACAATATCATGCCCAAAACTACACACAGCAGTCCAGGTGACGCTGCACCAGTGCAAAAACATGTGACAGCAGACTCAAAACACTCAGCTCCATCAATTATAAAAGAGAAAACTGACCTTTGCAAGCCGCTTCATGCATTTATCCATGACGATCTCCTCCGGGGCCAATCGTCCCCCAAGCCCAGCCGAGCACCAGGGTCTCACCCGAGGCCAGGCAGTGCCTGCAGGCAGCAGCAGGGCCGTGCTGAGCCTGCTGCAGCCCCACGGGGAGCAAAGCTCCCCCAGCACAGGCACCTTCCCTCAGCACAGCTCCTTCTGCCTGGGCAGGATCCCGGGCAGGCAAGTGATCAGGGATGAGGACGCCGTGTCCCCCCCCTCGTGCCCCCAGACAATGGGACGCTAACGGCAATTTCATGCAAGGTTTCATCCGCATTTCAATGACAATCACCCTTAACTCCCCTGATCCTCAACCAGGCTCTTAAGCAAAAATGTAAATATGTTAATGACCGTAGCAGCCATCTGACCCAGGATCTTAATTCCCTGGCCCAAAACAATCTGTTTTTCTCCTGTTCCTTCCTTATATTAGAGAAGACACACCACAAACTAAAGGTCTCCCAGCAAAACTACAAGACAAAAGTAAGGTGAGGGGACCTCACAAAATGTGATGAAAATAGAAAATTCAGTTGAGGAAGGAAAATGAAATCTCAAATTGTTCCTCTTCTTTAATTAAAGACACATCAGCCACGGTTGAGTGAGCAAGTAGGGTGGAGGCTGGTGCTGCAGACAGACAATGAGTATCTTGGGAAAACTGAGACATTTCAGAGTGCAGCCAGCTGCTCCTCTCCCCATGGCAAACAGCCCTCAGGGCCATGGGGGCAGCTGGAGAGTCAACAGCTGAACTGGGCACAACAGCAGGATCCTTGGCTGGCTTTAGGATTGCAGGAACAGTTTGCTACCACCCATAGTTTCCTCATTGAAGGGCTTTGTCTCAACATCACCAAAGCCACAGTTGTCTTTCCAGTGGGCAAGGCTCCAAGCAACTTCATCTAAGTTGGAAATCAGCCTTGAGTTAGACCAGTTCCTTGAAATCTGAGTCATTCTAAGGTCCAGTGGTGTCTTCACTTTTGGCCTGGCAGTGTCAGGCCTCCTGGCACTGACCCCAGCTCTGCTCCAGACTAGGAGATTCTGCAAAGAGATTGCCCTGAGCTTCAGCTTCTCCTCCCTATTATATAGAAATGACAACAACTGATTCATTTCCCAGCAGAAAGGAGCTCTCAATAGTTGGCCTGTTTCTTATTTACATGTAGGTCCTTTTCCACTAGAAAGTGGAAATTGCATGCAACATCTTTTCATCTTCAAGGATTTCAGAAACCACTCTGAGCTTTGCTGGATGGAACTCAGGTGGCACAGTCTCTGCAG